AATCATATTTTGTGGATGCATCCGTAGAAAGACAAATATCATCCAAGATGGCCTCATTATGTTTTTTTTTTTTTTTTTTTCTTGAGACAGAGTCTTGCTGTGTCACCCAGGCTGGAGTGAGTGACATGATCTTGCAACCTTGGCTCACTACAACGTCCACCTCCCAGGTTCAAGCGATTCTCCTGCCTCGGCCCCCTGAATAGCTGGGACTACAGGCACCCACCACCACACCCAGCTAATTTTTGTATTTTCAGTTGAGATGGGGTTTCGCCATGTTGGCCAGGCTGGTCTCTAACTCCTGACCTCGGGTGATCCACCCACCTAGTCCTCCCAAAGTGCTGGGATTACACGAGGGAGCCACCTCGCCCAGCCAGTGAATGCTCTTAATAGCACTTAGCACATGGGGAGTGCTCCATGCGGGCCAGCTCTCACTACGCACTTGCTCAGGCTCTCTTCCAACTCTGACTCTCTCCTCACTTGTCTATCTCCCTGTGTATTCGTTTCCTATTGCTGCTGTAACATCACTACAAATTGGGTGACTTAAAAGCAGTGCATTCTCTGGGTTCTGAAAGCAGAAGTGTGAAATCAAGGGGTGGGCAGGGTTGGTTCCTTCCAGAGCCTCTGAGAGTGAAACCACCCTGTGCCTGTGTCCTAGCTGCTGGCAGCTGCTGGCGGCTGCTGGCAGTCCTTGGCATTCGTTGGCTTCCTTCTAATCGCTGCCTCTGTCTTCACATGGCTTGGCTTCCTGTGTGTCCATCTCAAATCTCCCTCTCCTTTCTCTTCTAAGGACACCTCTCTTTAGATGTAGGGCCCATCCTAAATCTCATGTCACCTTAATTACATCTGCAAAGACCGTGTTTCCAATTAAGGTCACGTTCCCAGGTACTAGGAGTTGGGTCTTGGGTATATCTTTGGTGTGGGGGACACAGTGAAACCCACTCTACCCTGCTTCCTCCCTGTCTCTACCTTCTCTGTCTCCATTTCTGCCTGTGTCTCCTCTTGTCTTTTTAGACTCTTTCTGTTCCCACATTTTACCATCACCCCTGGTCCCAACTTTTCTCTCCCCTCTCCTCACCAACTCCTATTGGCAGAGAACCCTGAAAATCTGCCCAGACACCCACGATGTCACTGGATGAGCCAAATGAGACCAAAGATTGGAGGGAAGTTATAGGGGGTGGGGAAGTTATGGGTCCCTTGATCTGGAGGAGCCTGAAATTATCATTGTAACCTACAGGCTTTTTCTCTCTGTACATACAGGGCTTGTACATACAGGCAAAACCGAAAACTCCTGCTGCAGTAGGACAGTGGTTTGGGGTTTGTAAGGAGAAAGGAAAATACATTTAATAAAATTGATGACAATCATCAATATCTCTGTCCGTTTTCTGGGTACCCTCCCCCTAGTTGGTGTCCAGCTCTGTTTCTCTACCTGACTGGGCGCTCCTCAAAAGCTGGGACCAGATCCCACTCATCTGTAGACAGCCATTATCCCAATTCAAGGTAGAAGTGACTTGGATCTTCAAAAAGGATGGACAACATATTGTAAGGGTCTGAAGGGACAACCATTTCTCCTCTAAGAAGGAAATGCATCCGAAAGGACATGAGCCAGTGCAAGCCTCGAGGATGGTTAAACAGAGGAAGAGCAGTGGTCAATGTGGAAGGCACAGGGTTTCTTCTCTATCTGAACTACAATTCTTCACCCTCTGTGCACCTGTATACTAGATTCGGATATTCTTCTCTTTTTGCTTTTCTTGTTTTTTGTTTTTGTTTTGAGACAGAGTCCTGCTCTGTCGCCCAGGCTGGAGTGCAGTGGCGTGATCTCAGCTCACTGCAACCTCTGCCTCCTGGGTTCAAGCGATTCTCCTGCCTCATCCTCCCAAATAGCTGGGATTACAGGCCTGCGCCCCCACGCCCAGCTAATCTTTGTATTTTTAGTAGAGATGGGGGTTTCACCGTGTTGGCCAGGATGGTCTCCAACTCCTGGCCCGCCTCGGCCTCCCAAAGAGCTAAGATTCCAGGAGTCAGCCACCGCGCCCGGCCCAGCGCGACTTCTGATTGGCCGAAACCTTGACTTCTTTGTTCCAGCCCCACCCGTTGCCAAGATACCAGTTTTGGCACATGCGCAGTAGGGTATCCCTTGAATGAGCGATTTTGAAGAGGTGGAGCATTGGCCCCAACTGAAACTGATGGGGCTGCAACCGGAAAGACTCTGGGAATGGTAGTTTCCGGCCTGAGCCTACGCAGGCGCACTGTCCTACGCGGCTTTGGCGCGCAAGCATCTTACCTCAAGCTGCCGGGTGCCTCCCACGGTATCTGAAAGCCCGGGGGAACCAGGCTCCAATGTCTGGGCCTCTCTGCCTCTGAGAACTGCTCCCTCCCGTCCTCTTTTTCTGGACTTCTCGCCTTCGCTGGGAGCCGGCTCCAGTCTCCCGGGGACGTGTCCAGACGACGGAGCCCTGGTTGCCATGGCGACTCTCCTCCTGGTGAGCGCGACGTCACCGTCACCTGTGCGCTGGCCGGGGACCTGGCTACTCCAGGTGGGTCAGGGATGCTTGACTTCACGCGCACCTCTGAAGCTGGTAGCCAGACTACAGCATCTGTGAAAAACTCAAGTTTGAGGGTCGCAAACTGGTGGCCCCCGAATGCGTTTTGCTTGGGCAGTAGTGAGCAGTGTTGCGGGTTTGTTCTTACGTCTTCATGCTGCAGGTCCAGACACTTCCTCAGCTTCATGGAAATTTCCTGGGAGAAGTCCATAATAAACAGATAATTAAGTCGCGCATAAATTATAGTGTGACGAGAGCTCTCGGGGGCGTAGACTGGAGGAGAGAGACAGTTACCAAGAATTACAACACAGCGATTAGCACATAGCCCTGTAGGATATAAGATACCGGGATGTTCCTGTGGGAACACAAGAGAGTGAGTTGCCACCTCCCGCTCAGCTCGGTGGAAATCGGAGACAGTTTACTGCAGGAGAGGCTGTAATAACTTGTTTTTGCAAGAAAAGTAGGTGTTTTCCTAAAGCAGTAGTGGGGAAAAGTTAAAGAGCAAATAGAAATCATGGGTGGGAACGATTAATGCTTTTTTTTTTTTGAGACGGAATTTCGCTCTTGTTACCCAGGCTGGAGTGCAATGGCGCGATCTCGGCTCACCGCAACCTCCGCCTCCTGGGTTCAGGCAATTCTCCTGCCTCAGCCTCCTGAGTAGCTGGGATTACAGGCACGCGCCACCATGCCCAGCTGATTTTTTGTATTTTTTTTTTTTTTAGTAGAGACGGGGTTTCACCGTGTTGATTAGGATGGTCTTGATCTCTTGACCTCATGATCCACCCGCCTCGGCCTCCCAAAGTGCTGGGATTATAGGCCCCTGCCACCACACCCAGATAATTTTTTTGTATCTGTAGTAGACACAGAGTTTCACCATGTTGGCCAGGCTCGTTTTGAACTCCTGACCTCAAGTGATTCACCTGCTTCAGCCTCCTAAAGTGCTAGGATTACAGGGTGAGCCAGCGCACCCAGCCTAACACATTTTTAATAATTACAAACACTTACGTCATGGTTTTTATCTGTCACATACTGTTCTAATGGCTTTACTTCTATCAGCCTACTTATATCTCATAACCTGATGAAGAGGGTACTTATTATTGCCCCATGTACAATGAGGAAACTGAGACACAGAGAGGTTAATGACTTTCACAGTGTCACACTGTACATGGGAATAACTATTATGCTTGGCTGCACTTGCTACAGGGTTCAGGAGTTAATAAGTGCTTATACTTACAAAGCTCTGATAATAATCAAGGTCTTTGGAGACAGTTGTATCAGCCAGGATGACTAGTTATGCTTCAGTAACAAACACTCCTCAACCTCCGTCATGGCTTATAGCAATGAAGACTTATTCCTTGTCCACATGTGTTCCATATAAGGACTATTTATGCAAAATAACCCCCAAATGTGGAAGGAGCCAATAGCCAAAAAAGAGGGAGACAAATTCAGTTTGTTGGTACGGGGTGATTTATTTGGGGAACTTGCAAAGGGAAGCTTGGTCTTGGGTGGCAGCAAGACAGGTCGATCTCCACACAGTTACTCCCTAATCCCAAGGCTTATCTAACATAGGAAAGGGGAATATTTGCTTTATCAAGACAATTAAGCATTAAGGCAGGTAACCTTCCAGAACAGGCAAGGATGCTGTTTGTGTCATAGCCTGTAATTTGTGTGATAACATCAAGGTTGACATGATCTTACACTAGGGACAGTAAGTAAAGTAGGAATCAGAAGTCATTCCCAGGACTGGGGTTAATCAGAAATCAACATGACATGCCTATTAAAGATTAGCTGAGGCTCTGCTCCATGCCACCCTGACTCCAGAGCCTCAGCTGACAGTACAACCTGTGCTTGGAGCATTTGGTTATTAGGACACAAAGAAAAAAGAGCAAACTTGGCAGTAGTAAAATGAAGTGGCTGCAAATATGGGCTGGACACGGATTCAAATCTTGCTTCTGTCCTCAACTGTTCTGGGAGTTTTGGGGGAGACATAAATCCTCTATCTCAGTGTCCTTATCTGTAAAATAGAGAGAACAATGCCATCTTCATAGGGTGGTGATGCCAGCTCAGTGAACTAGTAAAGCTCATAATGTGTTGTCAGTAAGTAACACCTATTATTATTTCATTCAGGCAATGGGCCATCTAGCTTTTGATCATGAGCACATATACGGTTTACATTTTCTTTCTTTTCTTTTTTCTTTTTTTTGAGACAGGGTCTTGCTCTGTTGCCCAGGCTAGCACCATCACAGCTCACTGCAATCTTGCCCTCTTGGGCTCAGTTGATCCTCCCACTTAAGCTTCACAAGTAGCTGGGTCTACAGGTGCTCACCACCATGCTTGGCTAATTTTTGTATTTTCTGTAGAGATGGGGGTCTTGCTATGTTTCCCAGGCTGGTCTCAAACTTCTAAGTGCAAGTGATCTTCCCTCTTTAGCTTCCCTGTTTGAAATCCCAAAGTGCTGGGGTTTCAGGTGTGAGCCACTGCACCCAGCCTGGCAATTCTTTTAGTGTTTTACCATTAAGCCTGATACGAGGTTTTGATTATATGGACATAAATACATACAATAAGAGGTCAGCAATTCTTTAACATTGTTGCTATTGTTGTTCAATATGAATATATGCTGAATTTATTAAGCTTATCTAGAAATGACTGGTTACTGAATTATTTTTTGTAAGCTTTCTCAGCTTCTAGGATTACTTAATGTTATCAAAAGTCCTTTTAGTATCTATAGATATAGTTGCATATGGATATATTCAGAAAGATCAATAGATGAAATGTGTAATGTCCTAATATCAAACCATCCTTGCACTCCTTAACATACATCTCCCAGCTCCCAGAATAGGCTCCATTGCCTTTACCGAACTGCCCTTTAAGAAGTAATGGGTGAAACTGAGGCAAACAGGAAGGCAGATGCCCAGGGAAATTGAGTAACAATGACTCAATTCATTCATCATCAGTTTACACAGGGCCAACTTTTATCTGTCCTGGAGACATCAGCCATGGTAGGAGACATTTGGATTACATAGACTATGGCATCATCTGTGGAGGAGAAAACTCTGCCTAAAACAGGGTTATTCACGGTACCAGTGCAGTCAGGCATGTCCCAAATATCAGTTTTCCCCCAGCTGCAAAGCTGCTGTGTATATATCTAAATACAGCCTTGCTCCCGCCCCACATTCTGCTCCCAGACTCCATTTCCCACCACTACCCCGCACTCAGAGCCCTTAGGCCGAGAGGATCTTGAATCTCAATGCCTTCTGGGAAATGTAGTCCGCCCGCGATGCCGAGTTTAAGGTACCTGGACTTACATTTCCAAGACAGCGGAGACAGCGACCGCGCAGGCGCGTTCCGGGGCCCGCCGGAGGGAGGGAAGGCCTGGCTGCCCCGCGGATTCCGCCTGGACGCACTGACCTCGCGGACCCCACCGGAGCAGGTGGGTGTGGACCGGGCCAGGCAGGCTAGCAGCAGCTCAGAGGGCGGGCCCGAGTCGGACGTGGGTGGGAGGGGGAAGGGCGCTGTGGGTGACGCCCCGTCTCCTCTTTTCATTCCCTGAGCCCCACCTAGCATCAGCGGAGCAGGGACCACTCAGCGCGTAGGAACTGGGCGCTTGCTGTTTGTCTGGAGTCCGGCGGAGCCTGGGACTGCTGCGGTCTCCTAGGAAGGGGAAACCTACCTTTCCTCACTTTGCAGGTGAAGAAGCTCAGACTCGGGGAGACTCCGCGACTTGTCTCAGGCTGGTAGAGCTGCAACCCAGATTCTGACCCCAGAGCCCGAGAGCGGCACTGCACGGGCGCATCCTCGGTCTCGGCTCCCCTTACCCTGAGCACCTGTCTCCTGTCTCTGGGTCTCCCATCTCTCTCTTTAATCTTCCCCTCACCTCCGCCGCCCCAGGTTCTGTCCCCCTCTCTCTGGGTCTCTGTCCGCCACTCTCGGTCCCTGCGCCTTCCTTTCACTCCCCAGCCCTCCTAGCGAATCTCTGTGTTTTCCAAAAACAAGGTCATTTTCTTACATAACCACAGCACCACGATCACAATGAGGAAATTAATACAAATAGCTAATCTGTAGACTTCATTGAAATTTTTTTTTTTCATTGAAATTTTTGATGATCCTTCCAGTAATGTCGTGTGTGTGTGTGTGTGTGTAGACAGGGTCTTGTTCTGTCACCCAGGCTGGAGTGTAGTGGCACAATCATAGCTCACTGCAGCCTCCACCTCCTGGGCTCAAGCCATCCTCCCACTGCAGTCTTCTGAGTAGCTGGGATTACAAGCACATGCCACCATGCTCGGCTGATTTTTTTAATTCTTTTGTAGGAACGGGGTCTCACTAGGTTGCCCAAGTTGGTCTCAAACTCCTGGGCTCAAGTGACCCTCCCACCTCAGCCTCCCAAAGAGCTGAGATTACAGGTGTGATCACGGTGCCTGACTGTGATAATGTCCTTAATGGCAAAAGGAAATCCTAGATCACACTCACTACACGTGTTGTCGGGTCTCTTTCAATCTGGAGCCGTTTTTCAGTCTTCTCTTGGAAGTTCCGAAGATTACAACCATCTACTTGCAGAAGGTCCCTCAGCCTGGGTTTGTGTGGTGCTTCTTTATAGTTAGATTTAAGTCATGTGCTTTTGGCAGGGCTGTCCCAGGGATGATGCTGTCTCCTCATCCCATTGGGAACCCTGGGCTCAGCTTGTACCACCACATACCACGTCAGCTTCATTCACATGGGTAAGGTGGCATCGGCCAAGTTTCTCCTCTATAAAGTTACCCTGCTCCGGGCACAGTGGCTCACACTTGTAATCCCAGTACTTTGGGAGGCCGAGGCAGGCAAATCGCCTGAGGTCAGGAGATCGAGACCAGCCTGACCAACATAGCAAAACCCTGTCTCTACCAAAAATACAAAAATTAGCTGGGCATGGTGGCGGGTGCCTGTAATCCCAGCTACTCAGGAGGCTGAGGCACAAGAATCAATATCCCGGGAGGTGGAGGTTTCAGTGAGCCAAGATCGCCTCACTATACTCCAGCCTGGGCGACAGAGCGAGACTCTGTCTCAAAAACAAAATAAGTCCGGGTACGGTGGCTCACGCCTGTAATCCCAGCACTTTGGGAGGCCAAGGTGGGTGGATCACCTGAGGTCAGGAGTTCGAGACCAGCCTGGCCAACATGGTGAAACCTCATCTGTACTAAAAATACAAAAAATTAAGACAGGTGTGGTGGTAGATGCCTGCAATCCCAGCTACTCGAGACACTAAGGTTGGAGAATTGTGTGAACCCAGGAGGCGGAGGTTGCGCTGAGCTGAGATTGGGCCACTGTATAAGCCTGGGCAACAAGAGTGAAACTCCATCTCCAAATAAATAAATAAATAAATAAATGCAGCTACGGCACTCCAGCCTGGCCCACAAGAGCAAAACTCCATCTATAAATAAATAAATAAATAAATAAACAGTGACACTCTGTCTCCAAATAAATAAATTAAATAAATTAAAAAGCTACCCTGTTCTTTTCGTAATTAACAAGCGATTCATGGGGAGAAAGTTAAGACTGTCCTGCTGATTTTCTCATCAAAATCTCGTGTAGTGGTTTCAGCATTCAGATGTGTGTGTTTGGGGTAGCTGGGGATGTGTATGGCTCCTCGCCTGGGAAATAAATGTGTGAGGCGTGAATCTTTTCATTTTGTGGGCTGTATTCGTTTGCCATGGCTGCTGTAGCAAATTGACACACACTTACAATGACACGATTTTATTCTATTACAATTCTGGAGGCCAGAAGTTGGAATTGGGATTCTCTGGGAAGGGATCAAGGGGTCAGCACGGCCATGCTCCCTCCAGAGGCTTGCGGGAAGCATCCATTTCTCTGCCTCCTGGCCAGTTTCCAGTGGCCTGTGTTCCTTGGCTTGTAGCTCTTTCCTCTGTCGTTAAAGCCAGCAGCATAGTGTTCTCTCTCTGCTTTCTGCTTCTGCCCTGCGCCAGATCCTCCTCTGCCCACTCTTTTTTTTTTTTTTTTTTGAGACGGAGTTTCACTCTTGTTGACCAAGCTGAAGTGCAGTGGCACTATCTTGGCTCACCGCAACCTCCACCTCCTGAGTTCAAGTGATTCTCCTGCCTCAGCCTCCTTAGTAGCTGGGATTACAGGCATGCACCACCACGCCCTGTCTGCCCCCTCTTATGAGGACACTTGTGAAGGCATTTAGGTCCCACGACGATAATCCAGGATAATCTCCCTATCTAAAGATCTTTAACTTAATCCCTTAAATCTCTTTTCCATATAAGGTAAGATCTGTAGGTTCCAGGGATATCTTTGGGCAGTGTTAGACAGACTGTCTAGTCCACCAGGGAAGAAGTCCCAGTTTATGGAATAAAGTTTTAAGAATCTTTGCCAAGGCTGGGTGTGGTGGCTCATGCCTGTAATCCCAGCACTTTGGAAGGCCGAGGTGGGAGGACTGCTTGAGCCCAGGAGTATGAGACCAGCCTGGACAACAGAGAGACTCTGTCTGTATTATTAAAAAATAAATAAATAAATAACTAAGAAGAACTCCTGGCCAGGTGCAGTGGCTCAGGCCTAAAATCCCAGCACTTTCAGAGGCCAAGGCGGGCAGATCACCTGAGGTCAGGAGTTTGAGACCAGCCTGGCCAACATGGTGAAACCCCAAACCCCGTCTCTACTAAAATGTAAACATTAGCCAGGTATGGTGGTGGATGCCTCTAGTCCCAGCAATTCGAGAAGCTGAAGCAGGAGATTCTCTTGAACCCAGGAGGCGGAAATTGCAGTGAGCCGAGATCGTGCCACTGCACTCCAGCCTGGGCGACAGAGCGAGACCCTGTCTTAAAAAAAAAAAAATATGCCGGGCGCAGTGGCTCAAGCCTGTAATCCCAGCACTTTGGGAGGCCGAGGCGGGTGGATCACGAGGTCAAGAGATCGAGACCATCCTGGTCAACATGGTGAAACCCCGTCTCTATTAAAAATACAAAAATGGGCTGGGCATGGTGGCACGTGCCTGTAATCCCAGCTACTCAGGAGGCTGAGACAGGAGAATTGCCTGAACCCAGGAGGCGGAGGTTGCGGTGAGCCGAGATCGCGCCATTGCACTCCAGCCTGGGTAACAAGGGCGAAACTCCATCTCAAAAAAAAAAAAACAATATATATATATATGAAAAAAGGTAAGGGGTGGCTCTGTGGCTAGACCTCTGTGATATTTTGTATCTCCATGAACTTGAGCAGGTCTTGACCTCTCGTGCCTCAATGTCCTCCTGTAGGGATAACTATGTTCCTGAGTCTGAGAGCTGTGGTGTGGGGGAGGTGAGACAGCCTCATGGCTGCTGGCTGTTGTCACTGGTATGAAAAGGGGGCCTCAGGTGGCCTGTCCTGAGCCTTTGCTTTGACACTTAGGGGACCATGGCCCCTTCTGTGACAGGAGTCTTTGGGGAAAGCATCTGTCTGTCTGGACCACGACCGACCCCTTTTCTGCTATGGTCTCTTACTCCAGCTCTTCAGGCCCTGGCCTGGACCTTTTTCCAGGAGGTGCATGCCCAGGACCCAGCAATGGCCAACAGGACCCTGATGGCCGCCGGCCAGGTGAGTCTGGGCGTCCTCTTCCCCAAGATGACTTCATGGACTCCTGCGGGCCCTCTTCATCCCTGTGCATGATCTGAAGTTCTCCTGATTCTCCCAATACTGGGAAAGAGGGTATGAGAAGGGGGGAGCTGGGCAGTGCAGAGGGGCAGGGGGCAGAGGCAGAATGCTCTGAGCTGGGTCCTCATCATGCAGTCTAATAATTTTACATCAGCCTGGTGCAGTGGCTCACGCCTGTAATCCCAGCACTTTGGGAGGTCGAGGTGGGCAGATCACCTGAGGTCAGGAGTTTAAGACCAGCCTGACCAACATGGAGAAACCCCGTCTCTACTAAAAATACAAAATTAGCCAGGCATGGCGGCGCATGCCTGTAATCCCAGGATTACTCGAGAAGCTGAGGAGGCCGAGGCAGTAGAATCACTTGAACCCGGGAGGCAGAGCCTGCGGTGAGCCGAGATCCTGCCATTGCACTCCAGCCTGGGCAACAAGAGCGAAACTCGGTCTCAAAAAAAAATTTTTTTCCACCTAACACTGCAGCCTTTTGGTTACCAGGCAAAGTGGGCAGTGGATGGTTTTGCTTCACCTCTGAGCCTTATCCCTGGAGTCAGGAATGGGGGTCAGGATCAGGTTGGGGTCTGGGATTGAATGGGATTTAGGAGTATCTCCAGCACACAATGGCTTGAGTTTTCTTTAAGTATTTCTTAGGGCCGTCACTTATAGGTGTACAGGCTGTGCACTGCACAAGGGTGCCTCATCCTAGGCAGAGTTCACACCTTGCACCTCCTACATTGCTGTATTCATTGTGGCAATTTTCAGGTGATTGGTATGTCATACGCTAAATTAATTAGTATATTACGATGACTGCCCAACAGATGGCAGTAAAGAGTCACGTGAAAGGGTTCCTGGTTCTACTTTATTCCCAGGTGTCTATGTAGGCCAGTTTGATTCAGGCATCTCAATTCTGCACAGTCAGAATATTCCAGCCCAGGGGGCAGTTGTAGGCTCTTGACTCCTGACACCTGTGCCCCCGAGTTCCAGAAGGACCTCCATCGAGTGAAATTGGCCCTTGCAGGAATCAGTGACCTTCAAGGATGTGGCCGTAGACTTCACCCTGGAGGAGTGGGGCTGGCTGGAGCCTGGCCAGAGGGAGCTGTACCGAGATGTGATGCTGGAGAACTACCGGAACCTTCTCTCCCTAGGTGAGGTCCCTCCCCCAGCCCTCCCCAGGGGGAGGCCTGATGCCCCCAGTACCCTCTTTGATGCTCCTGGTGCCCTCTCTGATGCCCCCCCTCCGAGATCAGCCTGGGCAACATAGCGAGACCCCATCTCTACAAAAAATTTGAAAATTAGCCAGGCATGGTGGTGCATGCCTGTAGTCCCAGCTATTCAGGAGGCTGAGATGGGAGGATCACTTGAGCCCAGGAGGTCGAGGCTGTGGTGAGCCGTAATTGTGCCATAGCACTCCAGCCTGGGCGACAGAGTGAGACCCTGTCTCAAAAAAAAAAAAAAAAAAGCAAATGTTACGTATTTAGTAGTCTTGAGATGGAAGCTTTGGGCATCAGTGAATCTAAAACAGAGATCCATCAGAAATAAGATGCAACCCACTCAGGTAATTTTACATTTTTTGGTGGTCACGTTAAAAAAATAAGAAACAAATGAAATTAATTTTAATAATGCGTTTTATTCACTGCAGGCTATCTAAAATCGTATCATCTTGACATACTGAAATAATAACCGATTAACAAATTCTTGAGATATTTTACTGTTTTTATTTTTAGTAAGTCTTCGAAACACAGAAGGCAGTGTTTTTTACACTTTCACAGGGCACTTAACTGGAACAGCACAGACCCAGAGCCTTAAACAGTCTTGTCAGAGCTCAGCCTCTCTGCAGTGCTCAAAGCACACAACAAATAAGTCTGGCATTGGCCATTCATGCTTCTAATCATTAGGCGCTCAACGCGTGCGCCTTCCCTCCAGACCTCCCTGTGATTCTGGCACCCACTGCCAACTCTTATCCCTTTCCCCAGGGGCGGGGCTTCCTGGATCCAAACCCGACGTGATCTCCCGTCTGGAGCGAGGGCAAGAGCCGAGGCCAGAGGACAGGGAGGCCCAGCGAGTTACCTGTCCAGGTAGGTGAGGATGGCCAGCAGTGTGAGCCCTCTTCCTACCCCATCTCTATGGTCAGTGAGGTTCGCTGAGGGATCAGACAGTGGAACACATGGGTGATCATTGTGGGCTCTGGAGTCAGGTGGCGGGGGTTCAAATCCCAGCTGATTGCTCCCTAGCTGTGTGGCCTTGGCAAGTCACGTAGCCTCTCTGTGCTTTGATTTTTTCATCTGTGGAGAGGGGGTGACACGAGTATCTAGGGTTGGGAAGAATCAATGAATTAACAGATACAGAGCAGAGCCCAGAGCTTGCTACAGAGTAGGTCGTGGCTTCGATGGCTGTCATTGTTATAATTCTCACGCCACCCTCCCCTTGTCCCACCACAGCCCATCAGTCCCCAGCCTTGTCCCTCCTGCCCCTGGCCAGGCCTCAGCTTCTCTCCCCTGGACCCTCACCCCAGCCTCCTGGCCCCCAGGCTTACCCCTCAGTCAACACACAGCCCCAGGCGATCCTTCCATACTGAGAGCTGACCCCCTCCTTCCCCTACTCACACCCTCCCCTGGGCTCCCCAGCTCCCCCAAGATAACGTCCCAGCCCCTCAGCCTGGCGATCCATGTGTAATCCAGCCCGGGCTTTCTCTGGCCTCGTCTTCGCCATCCTCCCCTGGTTGTACACCATGCCCTGATCTCGCTGAAGCGCCTGTCCGTACCTGAACCTGAACGTGTGTTCCCACATTTGGACCCTCACATGTGCTGTTCCCTCTCTCTGGAACACCCTTTCCTGCTTTTTCTGCCTGGCAAACACCTTCATGTCCTTCAAGATGAAGCTTACAGGTCACCTCCGAGTGGCCTCCTTGCTCGAGGTGGTGTATAACTGCGCTTGTGCATGTTGTACTTGAAGAGTGTAGACTGAGTTCCAATCCCCTTTCTGCCACTGACCGGCTGCGTGACTGTACGCACGTGACTTAACCTATTGGTGCCTCCATTTCCTTACCTATTAAATAGGGAGAATAATAGTACCCACCTCATTGAAATTTTTGGATGATTAGATTACTTAAAACACAGAGCAAGCTCAGAACAGTGTCTGGCTTGTAGTGAGCGTTTAATGAATGTTCCCTATTGCAATAATAATAATTGTTATTATCCAGTATTTCAGGACTCTTGCATATAAAGAATCAAAATAGCTTAAGAAAAATTAGATTTTTTTGACCCATATACCTAGGAAGTATTTCAGTGCAAGGCTTTGGGCATAGATGCATCTAAGGCCTTAAATGGTATTTTTAGGGCTTACTTGTTTTCTCTTTCTCTCTCTCTTTCCTTTCCTTCTTCCCTCCTTCCTTCCTTCCCTCCCTCCCTCCTTCCCCCCTTCCCTCCTTCCTTCCTTCCTTCCCTCCCTCCCTCCCTCCCTCCCTCCCTCTCGCCTTCCTTCTTTCCCTCCCTCCCTCCCTCCTTCCTTCTTTCCTTCCTTCCTTCCATTCTTCCTTCCTTTTCCACACATGTTCATTCTGTTTCTAGCTTCGTTCTGTCTACAGGCCTTTCCAAGTAGCAGTCAACATGGCTACCCACAGTCTCAAACTTCTATTCTGCCTATTAATTCCGTATATTAATCTCAGGGAAGACTCTGATTGGGTCCCTTTGGATGATGAACCTATTATTATTTATTTATTTATTTTTATTTATTTATTTTTTGAGACTGAGTCTCGCTCTGTCACCCAGGCTGGAGTGCGGTGGCACAATCTCGGCTCACTGCAACCTCAGCCTCCCGGGTTTAAGCAATTCTCTGCCTCAGCCCCCCAAGTAGCTGGGATCACAGGCGCGTGCCACCATGCCCAACTAATTTTTATATTTTCTTAGTAGGGGTTTCACCATCTTGGCCAGGCTGGTCTTGAACCCCTGACCTCGTGATCCACCCGCCTCAGCCTCTCAAAGTGCTAGGATTACAGGCATGAGCCACCGCACCTGGCCAATGAACCAATTATTATGTCCCAGGGAATGGGGTATTATGATTGGCTAGCCTGAGTGTGATGCCCCAGGCTTGTGGAGTTGTGGAGATATGTATGTGACAGCCCCACCAGGATTATAGGAAAAGGGGAGCAGTGGTTGTTCAAAGACAGAGATGCTAAAGAGGTAAGTAGGATATATCCAAAACGTCTGAGTACAAGCTGCCCCTCCCTCCTCTCTGAGGACAAGAACCAGATATCTTGTTTAGTGTCATAGCACTGTGGCTGGCACACATGTAATTAATGGACATTCCATGAACAAACCTACTGGCTCAAAAAAAATGGTTTTTGCTTTTTCCTCATCGTGTCTTTTTATTCATTTATTTTTATTTTTAATGTTTTTTTTTGAGATGGAGTCTCACTCTGTCACCTAGGCTGGAGTACAGTGGCATGATCTCAGCTCACTGCAACCTCTGCCTTCTGAATTCAAGCAATTCTGCGCCACCACACCTGGCTACTTTCTGTATTATTAGTAGAGACAGGGTTTCACCCAGTTGACCAAGCTGGGCTCAAACTTCTGACCTTGGTGATCCACCTGCCTCCGCCTCCCAAAGCGCTGGGATTACAGGCGTGAGCCACTGTGCCCAGCCATGTTCATCAATTCTTCACTGCAGCTTCCTTTCTACAGATTACAAGCTCATGCTGCAAAAGCTTTATATCCAATTAATATATATTGATGTTTTTCAGATCAAATAAAAGCTATGCGTTCATCATAGAAACTTAGAAAATCTAAATAAGAATAAGGCAGGAAATGAAACTTCCCCATATTCCTGTCTCCCAAAAATTAACTTTTGACATTTTAATGGCGTTCTTTCAAGTATTTTCTTTCCTTCTTCTTCTGTATGTATATTTTTTGATATGGGGCCTCACTCTGCCACCCAGGCTGGACTGCAGTGGTGTGATCACATCTCATTGTAGCCTTGATGTATTGAGCTCAAGCTGTCCTGCCTCAGCCGTCCAAGTAGCTGGGACTACAGGCATGTTTAAGTTTTAATTTAAAACAATTTTTAAAATTCTTTTGTGGAGATGGGGTCCCCCTATGTTGCCCAGGCTGGTCTCAAACTTCTGGGATCAAGTGGTCCTCCTACCTTGGCCTCCCAAAGTGTTGAAATTACAGGGATGGGCCACTGCACTTGGCCCTCCAAGTATTTTCAACTCAATGTCTTCACTATCTTTTAATATTAGTTCTTTAAAAATATTATGCAGCTATAGTAGTATAGTACACCACTATAATAGTATAGCATAGTACTATATCTAAATCACAAGAAGGAATAAAATTACCATAATTTTTTTTTTCCAAGACAGAGTCTTGTTCTGTCACCCAGGCTGGAGTGCAGTGGTATCATCTCGGCTCACTGCAACCTCCGTCTCCTGGATTCAAGCAATTCTGCTGCCTCAGCCTCCTGAGTAGCTGAGATTACAGGCGCCCGCCACCACACCTGGCTAATTTTTGTATTTTTAGTAAAGGTGGAATTTCACCATGTTGGCCAGGCTGGTCTCGAACTCCTGACCTCCTGATCTGCCCACCTCAGGCTCCCAAAGATCTGGGAGTACAGATGTGAGCCACCGTGCCCAGCCTAGCATAATATTTTTTTTTTTTTTGAGACGGAGTTTCGCTCTTGTTACCCAGGCTGGAGTGCAATGGTGCGATCTCGGCTCACCGCAACCTCTGTCTCCTGGGTTCAGGCAATTCTCCTACCTCAGCCTCCCGAGTAGCTGGGACTACAGGCCTGTGCCACCATGCCCAGCTAATTTTTGTATTTTTAGTAGAGACGGGGTTTCACCATGTTGACCAGGATGGTCTCGATCTCTTGACCTCGTGATCCCCCCGTCTCGGCCTCCAAAAGTGCTGGGATTACAGGCGTGAGCCACTGCACCCGGCCGAATATCTTTAACGGTCATTCACATTGCAGTACGTATGAGAGCTTCATTCGTGTTAATGGCTGAATAATATTTTATTGTATGAATGTGCCACAATTGGTTTATTCATCAGTTGGTAAACAGTTATTTCTTCTTTTTGGCCATTATGAATCATACTGCTATGAACATTCATGCACAAGGTTTTGTGTAAATGCATGTTTTCACTTCTTTCGGGTAGATACCTAGGAGTGGAATTGTTGAGTCATAGGGTAATTCTATGTTTAACCTTCTAAGGAACTGCCAGACTATTTTCAAAAGTGGCTGTACCATGTTACATTCCCACCAGCAGTGTGTGAGGGCTCTGATTTCTCTACATCCTCACCAATGCTTATTATTATCCAGTTTTTTTTTCATTATATCACTCATGAGTGTGAAGTGGAATCTCATCTTTTTCATTTTAATTTCCTTGATGGCTAATGATATTGAGTATCTTTTCTTGTACTTATCGGCCATTTGTATATCTTTAAAGAAATGACTATTGAGATCTTTGTCCTTTTTAATTGAGTTTTTAAAAATATTGAGTTGTAAGTATGCTTTTTATATTCTAGAAACAAGTTCTTTATCAGACATAAGATTTGAAAAAATTGTCTCCCATTCTGTTGTCTTTTCACTTCTTGTTAGTATCTTTGAAGCACAATGGGTTTTAATTGTTTTTAATTATTATTATTTTTGAGACAGGGTCTCACTCTGTCACCCAGGCTGGAGTGCAGTGGTGCGATCATGGCTCACTGCAGCCTCAACCTCCAGGGCTTCAGTGATCCTCCCACCTCAGCCTCCTAAGTAGCTGGGACCGCAGGCATGTGCCATCACTGCCTAATTTGTGTATTTTTGGTAGATTCGGGGTTTAGCCACGTTGCCCAGTCTGTTCTTGAACTCCTGAGCTCAAGTGATCCACCCACCTTGGCCTCCCAAAGTGCTGGGATTACAGGTGTGAGCCAGCGTGCGCGGTCTAGGTCTTACTTTTGACAGTGTCCAGTTTATCCATTTTGCTTGTGTTGCTTTGTGATTCTGACATCATATCTAAGATAATATACCATTGCCTGATCCAATGGCAAAAGAATCCTACATAGCATTTCGTTGTCGTGTCTCTGTTTTGGGAGTCCCACAACCACCCACTAGTTTAGCAATTTTCTGGAAGGAGTCACATGACTTTGCTAGTTGTATTGACAGCTTAGAGCAAAGTATGTAACACAGGAACAGTAGGAACTAACAAAGGCAAGAGAGGTCAGACACAGGTTTCCAGCCCTTACTGTCCCTGTGAGGGTCACGTGTGTATGGTTTTTTCTGCCAGTGCAAAACCACAGACACATGTGTGAGGTGTCTTCACCCAGGAAAGCCCACTTTGAGTCTTACAGTGAGAGTTCTTGAAGAGAGCTGGTCCCGTATGCACCTACCTGCTATATGACCAGCCACAGTGAGGATCCCAATCCAGGTACCAGGTGCCCATCATGAATCTTCATATTTACAGTCAACAGTGCCGACAACCTAATACATCTTGACCAGCGGCCTTGAGCATGTGGAAGAACATCTTACCCAGCACCTATGTGAATACCCCAGGAGTTTAGTTCTCAGAGACTGGCCAAGGGTCATTCCCATGTCTACAGAGACAACAAAACTGGAGAGATGGACCTTCTGTTAACTTTTCTTGCACATTCCCATGAACATTGTGTGAGAGGGTCTGTGCCATGCTCCCGTGACAGCACAGGATATCGTTAATATTTTCCAATCTAAAACGGGTAAAACAGCACCCTAATGATTTGATTTTTTTTGTTTTTTTAGAAGGAGTTTCACTCTTGTTCCCCAGGCTGGAGTACAATGGTGCAATCTCCACTCACTGCACCCTCCTATTGCTGGGCTCAAGCAATTCTCCTGCCTCAGCCTCCAGAGTAGCTGAGATTACAGGTGCCAGCCACCGGGTCCGGCTAATTTTCTGTATTTTTTTTAGTAGAGACGAGGTTTCACCATGTTGGCTAGGCTTGTCTCGAACTCCTGACCTCAGGCAATCCACCCGCCTCAGCCTCCCAGAGTGCTGGGATTACAGGCGTGAGCCACCACGCCTGGCCATGATTTGATGTTTTTAACTATTGCTGATGTTCAGCATCTATACATGTATTTATCAGCCTCTTATTTTTCTTCCGTGAATTGTCTACTTATATTCCTGCCTCTCTATGTTCTTAGATTTTTTCTATCATTTTTTCATATTGATTTGTAAAAAAATTTATTATAGCCAGGCACAGTGGCTCACACCTGTAACCCCCGCACTTTGGGAGGCTGAGGCAGGTGGATCACAAGGTCAGGAGATCAAGCCCATCCTGGCCAACATGGTGAGACCCCCCATCTCTACTAAAGTACAAAAAATTATCAAGGTGTGGTAGTGTGTGCCTATAGTCTCAGCTACTCGGGAGGCTGAGGCAAGGGGAATCATTTGAGCCCATGAGGCAGAGATTGTAGTGAGCCACGATTGCGCCACTGCACTCCAGCCTCATGACAGAGCTAGACTTCGTCGCAAAAAATATATATATATCTGCTATCTTGGTTGGGTGTGGTGGCTCACGCCTGTAATCTCAGTACTTTGGGAGACCAAGGCAGGTGGATCACGAGGTCAGGAGTTCAAGACCAGCCTGACCAATATGGTGAAACCCAGTGTCTACTAAAAATACAAAAATTAGCTGAGCGTGGTGGCGTGTACCTGTGATCCCAGCTACTCAGGAGGCTGAGGCAGGAGAATCTCTTGAATCCAGGAGGTGGAGGTGGCAGTGAGCCAAGATTGTGCCAATGCACTCTAGCCTGGGCAACAGAGCAAGACTCTCTCTCATTCTCTCTCTCTATAGATAGATAGATAGATAGATAGATAGATAGATAGATAGATACTCAACCTCTGTGTATGTAAACTGTTTGTAACTTGGTTCTCTTCAGTTTTAGAGTGTATTGAGACTATCCTTCCATGTCAGAACATGAATCTATCTACATACACCATGCCTTTCAAAATAGCAGCATCAAGTTTGAAACCTTCTTCTTTTTTTTAGGTTTACACTGCCACTTCCAAGTAATCAGCTTACTTTGTCCTGGGACAGATGGTGTTGGTATTTTCCATTTCTTTCAGACTTGAAGACGAGCTCTGTGACTTTTGGGAAGATACCTCCAAAAAAGAGCATTTCTGAAGATTCAGCTTCCCCACCTGAGGGAACTTTAAGGGCTGTGCTTGGAGATGCCAAGTTGGGGAAACCCATGGCATGTCACTGTCCACTGGAGGACCCAAGAAAGCAGGAGAGGCATTTGAGGTGTTCATTTGCTACTCCTAGGGGAGACACCTCAGGGGAGAGAGGCCTTGGGTGTGACGAGCTTGGGAGAAGCCTCCTGCAGGCCTCTGCCCTTATCAGGAAGCAACGAGTGCCCCGTAGAGACAGGCCCCAGAAGTGGAGCGGGCCCTGGAGGAACTCAAAACGCCAAAGGACCTTCGTGGAGAAGAAACCATTTAACTGCACGGAATGCGGGAAAGCCTTCATTTACCATTCCGACTATATTCTGCATCAGCGAATTCACACTGGAGAGAAGCCCTACAAGTGCCGTGACTGTGGGAAGGCATTCAGCAACAGCTCATATTTCATTCAGCACCACATCATCCACACAGGTGAGAAGCCCTACGCCTGCCACGAGTGCGGCAAGACCTTCACTCAGAGCTCTTCTCTCACGGAGCATCAGAGGATTCACACTGGAGAGAAGCCCTATAAGTGCAAGGACTGTGGGAAGGCCTTCACGCAGAGCTCGTCCCTCATCAAACACCAGCGGTGCCACACTGGGGAGAAGCCCTATAAATGCAGCCAGTGCGGGAAGTTCTACTCGCAGGTCTCCCACCTCACCCGCCACCAGAAAATCCACACGGGGGAGAAGCCCTACAAATGTGCAGAGTGCGGCAAGGCCTTCTGTCACACCTCCTCCCTGACCCAACACCAGACCATCCACACTGGGGAGAAACCCTACAAATGCAACGAGTGTGGGAAAACCTTCAGCCATAGCTCATCCCTGACTCAGCACCAGCGAGTCCACACTGGAGAGAAACCCTATGAGTGCACTGAGTGCGGCAAAGCCTTCAGCCACAGCTCATCCCTGACCCAGCATCAGAGAATTCACACTGGTGAGAAGCCCTATGAGTGTCACGAGTGTGGGAAGGCTTACACACAGATTTCCCACCTCATGAGGCACCAGAGCACTCATGTGGGGGAAAAGCCCTACATATGTAGTGAATGTGGGAAGGCTTTCGGCCACACCTCATCCTTCACCCAGCACCAGACCATCCACACTGGTGAGAAGCCTTACAAATGTACTGAGTGCGGGAAAACCTTCAGCCAGAACTCCTCCCTCACACGCCACCAGAGGATTCACACAGGGGAGAAACCCTATGAATGTAAAATGTGTGGGAAAGCCTATACCCAGATCTCCCACCTCATTCAACACCAGAGGGTTCATACCGGAGAGAGGCCCTACGAGTGCAGTGAGTGTGGGAAAGCCTTCAGCCGGAGCACGCACCTCATTGAGCACCAGAAGATCCACACTGGCGAGAAGCCCTATAAGTGTCAGGAGTGTGGGAAAACCTTCAGTCACAGCTCATCCCTCACTCAACATCAGAGAATTCACACCGGCGAGAAGCCCTATGCCTGCAAGGAATGTGGGAAGGCCTTCAACCAGAGCATTCACTTAATCCAACACCAAAGGATTCACACTGGAGACAAGCCCTACAAGTGTCATGACTGTGGGAAAAACTATACCCAGATCTCACACCTTCTCCAACATCAGAAGGTCCACACTGGCAGCAAACGCTATGCATGTGAGGAGTGTGGAGAGGGTTTCAGCTGGAGTTCACACCTGACTCAACACTGGAGGCTTCACACTGGGCAGGATGCCTATATCTGTGATGATTTTGAGAAAGCCTTTGCTTGGGGAACAGAGCTTGCTGATCATCAGAGAACGCATGCTGATTAGACAACGTGAGTATGTAATGAACTGTCTGTCCTGCAGAAGGTCCCACCATCATCAACACTAGGAACCTCAGGAAAAATTTTGCCTTCAGGAACAGATGGATCCAGGGGCATAAATAGCCTTTAAGCCATCTGCTCTTCATCAACACTAGGGATTCCCCAGAGAACGATGCTAGCACCATATGTTGAGATAATTTGCTCCTTTCTTCCCTAGAGGGAAAGTGGCACAGTCTTTCACTAACTGGGACAGGTTCTGATCGTTTTGGGGGTTTCCCGTTCATATTTCCTCCACTTTACCATGTCCCTAGATTGTAGTATAGTTAGGGGTTGGTCCAAAATAGATACTATTTCATCTGGTACTTTTACTAAGAACAGCTCTCTCCAAGCTTTTAAAACTGATTGATCTTTCCTTAAATTGAAGCCTGAATATTTAGTGGAGGAAGACAGCTGTAAAGATTAACTCTTTAACATTTTTAGTTTCCTTTAAAACTTTATGTTACAAATATCACAATCTGCAGTTGGCTTCAACAATAAATATGTTTCATATAAATGTGACTGTAAATATAAATATATTTCACATATTTATAGGCATTCTTAATGTCCTTTTGTTTCTGTTTATTATGTTTCCATGATCTATGCTTTACAAAGCTATTATTCTTTTCTTTCCTTTCTTTCTTTCTTTTTTTTTTTTTTTTTAAACATAGTCTTGCTCTGTTATCCAGGCTGGAATGCATCTTATTTTTTACTTTCTGTTTTTTCTTTTTGTTTTTGAGACAGAGTCTTGCTCTGTTACCCAGGCTGGACTGCAGTGATGTGATCTCAGCTCACTGCATTCTCCACCTCTTGGGTTCAAGCAGTTCTGCATTAGCCTCCCAAGAAGCTGGGATTACAGGCACCTGCCACCATGCCCAGCTAATTTTTGTATTTTTAGTAGAGCTGTGGTTTCACCATGCTGGCCAGGTTGGCCTCAAACTCCTGGCCTCATGATCCTCCTGCCTTGGCCTCCCAAAGTGTTGAGATTACAGGTGTGACCACCATGCCTGGCCTACATAGCTATTGGCCTGTTAAGTGTCGTGTTCTTAAACATCATTGTTTGTTCATGCCCAAGGGGAGATTTTTTAAATCATATTTTAAAAATACGATATAATTTTGTATTTAATAATTGTATTTTTATGGCAGGAAAAATTTTAGTGAAATATCATATGCTCTTCATAAAGGATAATTTGGAAAGTATAAAGAAATATGAAATCAAAGACAAATTCCCTGTAATCCTGCAGTCCAGAGAGACTTGCCAGTCATTCTTGGGTGCGTTTCTTTGTTGGGGTTTTTTGTTTTTTGTTTTTGAGATGGGAGCCTCGCTCTGTCACCCAGGCTGGAGTGCGGCGATGCTATCTTGGCTCACTGCAACCTCTGCTGCCTGGGTTCAAGTGATTCTCCTGCCTCAGCCTCCTGAGTAGCTTGGATTACAGGCACCTGCCACTGCACCCAGCCAATTTTTGTAGTTTTAGTAGAGACAGGGTTTCACCATCTTAGGCAGGCTGGTCTTGAACTTCTAACCTTGTGATCCACCTGCTTCAGCCTCCCAAAGTGCTGGGATTACAGGCATCAGCCACGGAGCCTGGCCTCTTTATTTATTTTTTTAAATCTATATCCCATATCCACAGGGTTAGTTGTCAGAAATTTGGGGTCAAAAAAATAAAAGCCATCACTGACAATTTAGCCATCCTTAGAAGTCATATTTTTTTTCTTATATTTCCTTCCAAATCTTTTAAACAAATATAAGCTTATTTTATTGTCATCACAATGTAGGCACAGTTTTGCCATCAGTATGTCATGAGCATTGTCATTGTCCCATATACTTTTTTTTTTTTTTTTTTTTTTTTTGAGACGGAGTTTCGCTCTTGTTACCCAGGCTGGAGTGCAATGGCGTGATCTCGGCTCACCGCAACCTCCGCCTCCTGGGTTCAGGCAATTCTCCTGCCTCAGCCTCCTGAGTAGCTGGGACTACAGGCGTGCCCCACCATGCCCAGCTAATTTTTGTATTTTTAGTAGAGACGGGGTTTCACCGTGTTGACCAGGATGGTCTCGATCTCTTGACCTCGTGATCCACCCGCCTTGGCCTCCCAAAGTGCTGGGATTACAGGCTTGAGCCACCGCGCCCGGCCCTGTCCCATATACTTTTTATCATTATTAAGGATAAGGATATGCTATTGAGAAGGCGTAATTTATAAATCCACTCTGCATTTAGATTCCTCTTTAAGCTTCTGACTGACACCGGTTGTTCACCAATTATCCCAATTACAAATAATGGGGTTTTTTTCTAAAAATTTTTTATATTCTCACCTAATACTCTTAGAACAAATAATGTTATAATGAAATTTCCATGCTCACTTCCTCTCTCCCTTTGAGGTGATTATTCTTCAAAGTAAAATTCCCGGAATGGCAATGATGGGAATCAAGGCTTCATCCACTTTCCTGATTCCTCATACATATTGCCATATTGCTCTCCAAAGGGCTGAACTTAACCCATCTGCCGTAGCTGGGTGTGAGGACCATGGATGTACTATGTTTTTATAGCAATGGGTGTCAACTATTTAACATATCATTAAGTAACTTTTAACAACCTGATGTTTTGCAGCTTCATGTAGTTTGCTCAATCGACACATTATCCAGTCCGTTTTTGGATGTCTTGGTTGTTTCTAGCTTTTGGCTTTTATATATATAGTATGGAACATCACTTTGATGAAAGGGATGAGCGCCTTACCATTTCCCAGGCGAAATCCTGGCAGTGAGGTCATGGGGTCACAGGGAGAGATTTCTGTGACCTCGAGCGTGTTGCCAATGGGTTGCCAGAAGCTCTGTATCAGCTGGAACTTCTGTCAGTATATGGAACTGTGTCTTACTAGCCCTCGTCTGTGCTATTAGCATATTTTAAAGTCTTTGCCTAGGGTATTTCTCTTATCTTTTGTGCCTTCTTTCGTGATTGAAGTAACATTCTTTGTGAATAATTCAGATAATACAAAAATGAAGAAATCTTTAGTGCCCTGTAAATCTTTGTTCCAGGCTGGGTGTAGTGGCTCATGCCAGTAATCCTAGCACTTTAGGAGGCCAAAGCAGGCGGATCACCTGAGGTCAGGAGTTCAAGACCAGCCTGGCCAACATGGTGAAACCCCATCTCTACTAAAAATACAAAAATTAGCTGGGCATGGTGGCATGCACCTGTAATCCCAGCTACTTGGGATGCTGAGGCAGAATTGCTTGAAGCAGGACCCGGGAGGCAGAGGTTGCAGTGAGCTGAGATCACACCACTGCACTCCAGCCTGGGCTACAGAACGAGACTCCGTCTCAAATAATAATAATAATTAGCCTGGTGTGGTGGGGCATGCCTATAATCTCAGCTACTTGGGAGGCTGAGGCAGGAGAATCACTTCAACCCAGGAGGCAGAGGTTGCAGTGAGTCAAGATAGCACCATTGCACCCCAGCCTGGACAACAAAACTGAAATCCATCTCAAAAAAAAACTTCCTTCCAAATATCTTATAGTTTTTCTGTAAATATGAATCTCCCTTTCTGTTTTTATGAAACTGATTATATATGTGTGTGTGTGTGTATATATATATATATATATATTCACATATGTATGGTATGTATGGTATCACATGCAAACATAATTCTAAGAAGTTACTTATTTGATAGAATGTGGATAATTTCCCACAATAATGCAAAATATATATATATAGTACATATTACACAAAAAATATATATACACATAGGTATCTTCATTTTTCACAGCTGCATAATATTTCATGCTAGGGCTTCTTTAATTTGTTTAACCAATCCCTATTAATGGACATTTAACTTGTTTCCATTTCCTTTTCCATCACTGGATATTTATTGTTTGACATACATACAAAATGAATTCCTACAAGTATACTTGTGGGATCATAGAACATCTACATTTAAATTTTTCATGGTTATTGCTAAATAGTCCTCCAAAAGGGGTGAAACTATTTACACCACTCCTGGAAGTGTACATGAGTGCCTGTTTCTCTGTCCCTTTACTTCTTTCTCTGATACTTGGTATTAGTCATTTTTTAAAGCAATTTTAATCTGATAGGTAAAAATATCCTATTGGTCATGAGATTAATGATTTTTTTTGAGTTTAATGATCTTTTATGCATTTATTCATGTTTTGTATTCTGTGAATTGCCTATTTATGTATGTTGCCCCATTTTTAATTGAGCAATCTTTTTATATTGATTTATAATTGCAAGTCCTATGTTTTGTTTTGGTCTGGTTTGTTTGCAAGTCCTTATATATACCATGTATATTAACACTTTGGCATATAAGTGACTAATATTTCTCCCAGTTATTTCTCTTTCAATTTTATATTTGTTATACAGAGCTTTTAAACTTTTAGGTATTTAAACCTGTCTGTATTTTCCTTTATAGTTCTTGGACCTACTATCATGCTAACAACACTGTCCTTACCCCCAACATTATGAAAAAAAGTACTGCTATATTTTATTCTAGTACTTTTATGATTTTTTTCACAATTAAAACTTTGATCCATCTGAATTTTTAAATAATTTCTGGTATGAGGTAGACAGTTATTTCCAGCCAAAAGTATTCTATTTGCTTAAGAAAGAAAGAGAATTTGTTAGCCTATGTCATTGAACAGTTTTGCCTTCTGGAACAGATGGATCCAGGTGTTTAAGTGACATGTCAGTCATCTGGTCAGTCACTCCTTCTCTTAGCTAAGCTTTTTCAGTTAGGTTCATTTTCTGGCAGGTTCTCCCCTCATGGTGGCAAGTTTGACACCAGCAGCTCCAGGCTTATCTCCTATCACCTTAGAACCCCAACAGAAAGAAGGCATCTTTCTCCTACCAGTCTCTCCCATTCAGTGTGTCTCTCAATTCTTCCTTTAAATGCTGAACTTGACCACCTCTCACACAGCTCAAACGAGAAAGATAATTTATGGGCTTGAGTAGCTAAACACACCAAAAGAAAGACACTCATCTTGTTTGTGCTAGCACATCAGGATGCCTTCGGCTGTGGGTAAAAGAAAACCCCAACTCAAATTGTCACAAACACCAGGAAGAAGATATGTACATTCAGGGCAGATTCCAGCTGCAATTCATAGTGTTTCTCTACAGTTCTCTTGAGGTTGATACTATTTATTATTTCACATTATGTTCTCAAAGAATTATGTTTCTTGATCCCACAGTCCCTCCTTCATTCCCATTTACTTCATAACATTTATTTATTTATTTATAGATGGAGTCTTGTTTTCTGGCCCAGGCTACAGTGCAGTGTCACCATCTCAGCTCACTACAATCTCTGCCTTCCCGGTTCAAGTGATTCTCGTGCCTCAGCCTCTTGAGTAGTTGGGATTACAGGCTCCCGACACTACACCTGACTAGTTTTTATAATTTTAGTAGAGATGGGTTTCACCTGTTGGCCAGTCTGGTCTCGAACTCGTGGCCTCAAGTGATCCAGCTGCCTTGGCCTCCCAAAGTGCTGGAATTATTGGTGTGAGCCACCACGGCTGGCCTACTTCACAGCACTTATAATTTCCAATCATATGTCTCGTGGTTACTGCCTGCCCCCTGTATGTCTTTCCCGGCTGTATCCCTAGCATCTGGGGCACTGCCCGGTATACCGTAGGTTTTCAGGAAACAGTCACCCACTTTATGACTGATTTACTTCCTTAAAGGCTGAACACATTCCTCTCCTTACCAGCAGGGTAGGAGAATGGCAGTTTCCCCACACCCTCGTTAAGACTTTTAATTTTGACCAGATCTCTAAATATAGTGTATTTTCCCTTCTCTTCCTGGCGACCTCCTGCTCATCCCTCAAAGCCTTATTCAAAAGCCACCTCCTGGGCCCTGAGCGGTGGCTCACGCCTCTAATCCCAACACTTTGGGAGGCCAAGGCAGGTGGATCACCTGAGGTTAGGAGTTCGCGACTAGCCTGGCCAACAGGGTGAAACCCCGTCTCTACCAAAAATACAAAAAATTAACCAAGCATGGTGGCAGGCGCCTGTAATCCCAGCTACTCGGGAGGCTTAGGTAGGAGAATCCTCTGCATCCGGGAGGCAGAGGTTGCAATGAGTCGAGATCACGCCTGGGCTGGGCTCCATCTCGAAAAAATAAAAGCAAAAAATACAAATAAAATTTTAAAAAGTCTCCCTTTGTGAAACCTTCCCTCACATCAACTCTTTGAGTACCACCCAGCCCTGTGCTCTAACATTCGTTTCCCATCAAGTTTTACGACCCGATCACGCTGTTTGTCCAGCACCCATACTGCTTAAAGGCTCCGGTAATGGGCGGCCCCGCCTGCGGGGTAGGCAGTGGCGGTGGAGAAAGGCGTTTCCAGAGTCGACAGTTGCCTTGGAGACGAAAGCCGCCAGCACCGCAGTGGGGGGCGGGGCTTACAGAACGTGTCGTACGATTGGTCGCTAGGAAATAGACGCGCGGGCTGCCTTCTCCACCCCGCCTATCTAGGCCAGAGGAAGTGGTGGCTTTGTGCGCCCCACGCGAGGGCCGCCTGACGCCAGGGATGTTCCCGCATCTGCCATCAGAGGACCGTCACCCTAAAGAGCCCGAGCTCCCGCGGGACTCTGGGAAGGGTAGTTCATCCCGGAGTTTGACAGGCGCGGAAGCATCCGTGGGGTTAGGGCAGCTTCGCCACCAACATGGGGATGCTGATGGGGAGCGAGCTTCGCATGGGAGGACCGAGGTCCAACGCCCCAGTTGCCAGGTACCTGGGGGCCCGACCGTCTAGTGACACTCATCACTTGCCCTCTCCATTTTGGTCTAAAGAGCGGCCCTGAGCAGTGGGGAAGTTAGGCCACCGAGAGGATTCGAGGGGCCAGAGAATCTGGCGGCGGCCAATGAGGCTGCAGAGTTGCGGCTGGCTCGCGGCCAGAACCGGGGGAGGGGACCGGGTTAGAGGCCGCGGGGGCGGGGCTAGGGCGTGGCCTAGAGGACTGGCTGGAGTAGGCGGGAAGGGAAGTGGTTATCAGAGAATTGAGCAGGTGAAGCCGGCGTGGGCAGAACGCGCTGATGTTGATTTTGAGAATCCTTAAACCGAATTATCATTCTTGAGTCCATTGGAGAAACTGAGGCTTAGAGGGGGCAGGGGACCCTCAGGTTCAGTAGTTCATTAGAAAGGTTCTTGGTTGCATGGATTATAGCTAAAGAATCGAGATTAAAATCAGCACTGGAAAAGGTGCATAGGATGGAGCCTAGGAGAGACCAGGCGTGAACTTCCAGGTGTCCTCTGCCAGTAGAGCACATGGAGAGTACTTAACACACCCAGCAATGATGTGTGACAACACACGAAGTACTGCCGGAGACGCTCACCCACGCCTAGGTACCCAGGGTTATGAGGCTGGTTATGTATGTTGACAGGGCTGTTTACCCTGAATGACCTTAGTCTCCAGCGCTTCCAGAGGACAAGCTGAAATTTAGCTGGGGTATATCAGCTCTGACAAGGAGTCCCCCACCTCTGAAGTGTTGGGGGAGAGCTTGGCCCAAAGACTTTGCTGCTGCTTTATACCTTGACCTCGTTTTAGCTTGTCTTCGTCTCAGCCTCATAGGTGTTGGGTTTTGCCATCTTAACCTTGCTTGGTTTAGGCTCCTGTAGCTCATTTCTTTCTCCGATCACATTTTTTTCCTTTATTTGGAGACAGGGTCTTGATCTGTCGCCCAAGCGGGAGTGCAGTGGTGTATCACAGCTTACTGCAGCCTCAACCTTCCAGGCTCGTGATTCTCCCACTTGAGCCTCCCTAGCAGCTTGACTGCGGGCATGTGTCACCACACCTGGCTGTCACTATTTTTTGTACAGATGGGGTTTCACCAGGCTGCTCAGGCAGGTCTCAAACTCCTGAGCTCAAGCAATCCACCCACCTCAGCTTTCCAAAGTGCTGGGATTAAAGGCTTAAGCCACCACACCCAGCCTACCACACAAACTTTAAAATGTAGTACTTTATCTACATGTTTTTTAATTGTGGTAAAAACATGCATAACATAAAATTTGCGATTTTAATCTTTTTTTTTTTTTTTTTTGAGATGGAGTTTTGCTCTTGCTGCCTAGGCTGGAGTACAATGGCACGATCTCAGCTCACCGCAACCTCAGCCCCCCCGAGTAGCTGGGATTATAGGCATACGCCACCTCACCTGGCTAATTTTTTTGTATTTCTAGTAGAGACGAGGTTTCTCCGTGTTGGTCAGGCTGGTCTTGAACTCCCGACCTCAGGTGATCCACCCACCTCTGCCTCTCAAAGTGCTAGGATTACAGGCATGAGCCACCACGCCCAGCCCCATTTTAATCATTTTTAAGTGATTGTTCAGTGGCCACCACCCAGCTAATTTGTGTATGTTTTGTAGGGACAGGGTCTCACCATGTTGCCCAAGGTGGTCTCGAACCCCTGGGCTCAAGTCATCTTCCCACCTAGGCCTCCCAAAGGGCTGGAATTACAGGCATGAGCCAACACTGGGCCCCATCAGCTCACTTTATAAAAACTTTCAATTACTACTAACAGCAGGAAACTAGTATCTCATCACTAAAGGAAAAAGGTGGGAAGAAAAATTAAAATACGAAGCAAAGTTATATTATTGGATGCTAATTAGAAACACCAGCCAAGCCTGAGGCCTGACGTGTCTGTAAGGAGAGGAGGGAACTGCAGCGGCCTGTGCACGCTCCTTGGTTACTCAGGCTCACACCACACAGACTGAAAAGTGTTGTTTGTTGATGCATCTGAGGACCAGCTGAACTTGTGTGCCTCCTCGGTGGCCCATGCGCCACCCAGACGCTGGGGAAACAGACTCAGCTGCTCCCTCTTACTGGGCAATGATTGTTATCAGAAGCCCTCCCCACGAAGATGTGAGGCCTGGCAGGCAGGGACTGATGCCTGGCTGCATGGCAGCAGACTGAGAGAAGGAACCAATGCTTTTAGACTCAAAATTTTAATCAGAGAACCAACAAACATGCACACATGGAGGGCGTTTCTACCCCGGCCCGAAGCAACAAAAGTGACTGATTTAGAGAGGCTGCCCCCAACCCCCAATAGCTGCCAATTTTCCAGAGTCTCCATTGTGTTCCAGCCTGCAACACTTTGTACACTCTTTTGGTATTTAACATGTGAGACAGAGCTCCAGGGGACAGGAACCATGTACAAGAAGTTAAAATGTTGCAGCCATTTGAAAAACAGTATACTGGGGTTAGCCAATAGGTTCCCAGTTTGAACCAAGTTTAACAAACTTAAGCAGCAGAACTGTAGGTGCAAGACTTGAAAGCCTGAGTGTACAGAGCACTTACCCCCTAACCATTTTAAGCGCCTAAAATAGGAAAGTATCAGTGCTCAGTGCTTTCCTTAAGACTACTGTGTTTCCACCAAATGTGTGACTGAGCCACTTTGGTAGGCCACAAAAGCCCGGAGCTCACAAAACACTGTCAGGAGGAAACTGGCTGTGTGGTCCCATCTCACTGGACTCTCCAACAATCCCTGGTGATCCCAGAACTGTGCTATGAGGGAATGTGGCGTTTTTAAAATGTCACTTGTCAATTAACAGCAATCGTCTATGAAAATGGGTTCATTCATCTCCCCGATTCCAGAAGGAAGCTTCAGAGCAGGAGCACCCCAAGCCTCGCAAATTGCCGGGTGAGTGGCCATCTTGGATAAATGGCGAATGACAGCGCAGCAGTCACCTCCACACACTGCAGGTTTGACCCCCCAAGCATGTCTTCCATAAGGGCTGTGTCTCACATGTGGTTAACACCTTGATCAACGCAGCTTTCCTGATGGAATCCAGCTGTGTTTTGGTGTCAACTCCCACAACAAATTGGGTGTCCTATTGCATAACCAATACTGTTAAGTGGAGGAAGGTCATCGGAAGAGGCAGCATGTCCGCTGTGAGTGAGAGGCTTCGGAGGTTAGGAGTGGAAGGTTTTAGCCAGTTGAGGTTAGGTGTTTACAGGTTCTTAGCTTTCTGGGGGTTAAGAAAAAAAACTGGGAAAGAGAGATGAAGGGACAAAAAAGGCCAGGCATTTAAGAAGAGTAAGGTGCTGGAGAAAAACCTTAACAAAGGAAAACTTAAATTAAAAGCTATACATTATAAGAACATTACCTACAGTAAACACAGAGAAATTACTGCTTCCTTTTTTCCCATGACACCAGTCTATTTGTGCTATAGCTGACGTGTATTTGTGGCTCATACTTGGTGAGCCCTCATGTGCTGGGCATCAGTTCTAAGTGCTTCACATTTATTTATTTAATCCTCAAAAAAAGCCCTCTGAGGTAGGTGATGCCCATTTTACAGATGAGGACACTGAGGCCCTGTGAGATTTTTCTGACTTTCTCAAGGTCACTTAGGTAGCAGACGACACAGGTGGGATTTAACTGAGGTAGACTGGCTCCAGAGCCTACCTCTGAATCCTGACACTGTACACCTTCTCCATTTTTGTGTTTTCATTGTCATAATGAAACTCGTGTGCACAAACTTTCTAATCAATCTTTAGATGTATTTATTTGGAGGGAAACTTGCAATGGGATGGTTTCCAACTTTCGACATCCAACGAACATGGTCTCATATTCTGGGACTCTGCTACCACCCAATGGCTACAGACAGTATTGCTGCCTGATGTGTACACGCTGATGGCGGTTGAGACTCGAGTGGCACTGAAAGGTTTTCTGGCAATGTTGACACTGATAAAGTGTCCCCTGGGTGTGAACTCTCAGGTGCTGATTGAGATGGGCACTGAGCCCAAAAGCTTTGCCACACACATTACAGGAGTAAGGCTTCTCCCCAGTGTGCATTCTCTGGTGCTGTGTTAGATTTGCTTTCTGGGCAAAGGTTTTCCCACATTCACCACACACATAGGGCTTCTCCCCAGTGTGAACTCTCCGGTGAATAGAAAGGCATGAGCTCTGGGTGAAGGCTTTCCCACATTCCTGACAAACATAAGGCTTTTCTCCAGTGTGAATTCTCTGGTGGCGGACAAGCTCAGCATTCAGGCCAAAGGCCTTCCCGCAGTAGTCACATACATAGCGTTTCTCACCTGAGTGAACTCGCTGATGCTTAGAAAGGCATGAGCTCTGACGGAACGTTTTCCCGCATTCATTACACTGGAAGGGCTTCTTTCTGCCATGAGTTCTCTCATGCTGAACAAGGTAGTTTATCTGGCTGAAGACTCTGTCACACATGCTACATTTAAAGGGGTTCTCTCCAGTGTGAATTAACTGATGTTTTGAGAGGCGTGCCCTTTGGCTGAAGGTCCTTCCACACTCGTCACATTTAAAAGGGTACTCCTCGGTGAGGGAGGACTGAAGTTTGATAAGGGAGCCACTGCTGATGGCTTTCCCTTGTTCACCCCATTTAGACAGCCTCACCCTAAAGTGGATTCTTTGATGGCGAACGAGCTGAGTACTTTGGCCAAAGGCTTTCCCACACTGGTCACACTTAAAGGGCTTCACCCTGGTGTGACTCCTCGCATGCTGAGTTAGGTATTTGCTGCAGCTAAAGGATTTCTCACATTTGTTACACTTAAAGCACTTCTCTGTCTGTGCTGGGTTCTGAACTAAGATCTTCCCACTCAAAACAAACCCTTGTTTTTCTCTGGTGTGAACACTCTGGTGGCACTTCAGGGTTGAGCTGCAAATGAAGCGTTCTCCGCACTCCTGACATTCATATGGGGTTTTGACAGTGTGCATTTTCTGGTGCTGCACAAGTTGACTGTTATGGCTGAAAGTCTCCTTGCATTCAGCGCAGCTATAGGGCTTTTCTGCGGCATGAATGGCCTGATGTCGCATTAGATGTGAGGGCCGGCTGAAACTCCTGACACATTCCTGACATTTGTGGGGTCTGTAGCCTGTATGAATTCGCTGATGTTCACTAAGGTGAGTGTTCCGGCAGAAAGCCTTCCCACACTCACTGCATTTGTAAGGTTTGTCTCCACTGTGAACTCTCTGATGGATCTTTAGGGTAGAGGTATGGCTGAAGGATTTCCCACATTCGTTACACTTATAAGGCTTCTCTCCTGTGTGAACAGCCTGGTGTTCAATGAGCAGCGAACTCCGCCTAAAAACCTTCCCACACTCCTGACACTCAGAGGTAGTTTTTGCAGCGTGAATTTTCTGATGTTGGACGAGATGTTTTCTAAAGTTGAAGGTCGCCTGACATTTGGCACATTCATAGCGTTTCCGAGTGTGGTTCTTCTGGTGCTGAGTAAGATGAAGGATCCGGGTGAAAGTCTTGCCGCATTCACTACAGCTGTAGGACTTACTTCTTCTGTGAGTTTTCTGATGCTCAACAGGCTGTGTGGCATGACTGGGTGGGTGGTCACTGTCTTGACTCTTACATTGGTCTTCTCCAGTGTGAGTTTTCTGATGCCACAGGTATGTACTCTCACTAAAAGTTGTCCCATATTCATTACACACATAGGATTTGTAGCCTGTGTGGCTTTTCGGATACACAGAAAAGGAAGCATTCTGGTTGAAACCTTGCTCACACTCTTGATGCACAGTGGGTTTCTCCCTAGTATGAGTAATCCAGTGCTGGATAAGATGGTAACTCCCACTGAAGCCTTTTCCACATTCACTACATTTATATGGTTTATCCCCTTCCGGAACAGAATCCTGCTGGCTGTGTTCCGAGGAGCCAAACTCATCCGTATGTTCCTTAGATTCAGCTGGTGTGATGCTCTTCTCAGAAACATGCATCATGTTACCTTCTCCCGTGGAAAGGGTGGACACAGGACTGAAGCCTCTCTTTAATTCCTGACTCTCACATTCTGTGGGACTTTCCCTGTTGGTGGCAACATCGGACCTCAGAAGGCTTTCTGGATCTCCTAGCAAACTATCTAACCAGCTGTCCTCTATACAGGTTTCTCCAAAATTGGAGTTCCAGAAGCCCTCCTTGGAAATCATCTCTATAATCTCCTGGGAGAGTCCTTCTTCCAAGAAATCCTGCATCAGAGGAGAGTTCGTGGTCTCAGCCAAATCTGAAAGAGTAAGTGCAAATGTCTCCTGTTCACCAAGGGTGAGAACACAGACAAGAGCAAGTAGGGGTGATGGATCTTGAGTCCAGCCTGTCCATCAAGGGACCCAAAGGGGTGACCTATGTGGAACTGGCATCACAGAAAACAGAGAGAGCCCATTCCCAGGAGGATCAAGAGGGGAGATGGGAAACCACAGGGGTTCAACGAGGAAGGACACTCTACCATTACCTTCACACCTACATGACTGACCCAAGTTCCCTAAAGTCTCCTGGACTCACCTCCTTCCACTCTCCACTCACAAAAATCTTCCTCCTCATATCCTGCATCCTCTATCCCAGATGACACCCTGCCCCTCCACTCCACTACCCATCCAGTTCTCCACGCTAGAATCCTAGGAGTCAACCTCCTCCCCACCTCTCCTTCAACTTGGCACTATTTTTTTTATTTGGTCTCTATCAAAATGTCTCAACCTACTTCCTCTCCTCTCTCTATCAAGATTCCATCTGACTCCAGGCTGCTTGTTGGCCTCCTGTCTGTTTCTCTCTCTAGTCTTCCACACCAGTCCTAAAGGGCTCTGTAATAAATGGATCTGACTACAACACTCCTCAGATTAAATCCTTCCATGGCTTCCCACCTATAGAAGAGAAATGAGTGTATTAGTCCAGCGTTCTTTGTGCTGACCTCATAGAACTCTTGCAGTTCCCTAAATCTACCAGACTTTCTCCTCTGTGCCTTTCATGGTCCCTTGTGCTGGACTGCACTTCCTGGTCTAACTCCCCTAAGTCTTTTACCACCCAGCTTGAGTATCACCCTCCTCCGAGAGGCTTCCCTGACAACCCCATCTCCATTCTGCTTTAAGTCCCTTGCCCTGTATTCTCTAAAAAACAGCCGAGCACCTACCATCCTCTACCATAACAGGTTATGAAAGAGTCTGACCCCTGACCAGAAGATAAGCCCTTTAAGGGGCACCTTCCACAGCTCATCCATCCACTGCCCCAGAGGCAGCCATGGGAAGAGTTAACAGGACAGAGTAATTCCCATTCATGGCATGCTTACTCACAGGCAGGAGTGCCTCAGGCATACTCTGTTACCCTCAACAACCCCCTGTAAGGTAGGCACGTCTCTGCTTTTTTTTTTTTTTGAGACAGAGTCTTGCACTGTCACCCAGACTGAAGTGCAGTGGCGCGATCTCAGCTCACTGCAATCTCTGCCTCCTGGATTTAAGCTATTCTCCTGCCTCAGCCTCCTGAGTAGCTGGGACTACAGGCACGTGCCACCACACCCAGCTAATTCTTTTTGTATTTTTAGTAAAGACAGGGTTTCACCACATTGGCCAGGATGGTCTCGATCTCCTGACCTCGTGATGCACCCACCTCAGCTTCCCAGTGTTGGGATTACAGGCGTGAGCCACTGTGCCCAGCCACGTTTCTGCTTTCTTATACCTAAGTGAGCAGCAGAGTGAGATTTGAACCCCTCTGACTAGATCTACGTGTGTGTGTGTGTGTGTGAGTGTGTGTTTTGAGACTGAGTTTCGCTCTGTTGCCCAGGCCGGAGTGCAGTGGTGCAATCTCAGCTCACTGCAAACTCTGCCTCCTGTTCAAGTGATTCTCGTGCCTCAGCCTCCCGAGTAGCTGGAACTGCAGGCACCCATCACCATGCCCAGTTAGTTTTTGAATTTTGAGTACAGACAGGGTTTTGGCATGTTGGCCAGGCTGGTCTCAAACCCCTGACCTCAAGTGATTGCCTGCCTTGGCCTCCCAAAGTGGTGGGATTACAGGTATGAGCTACATACCTGGCCCCCATAATCGTAACTGCCAAGCTGTACCCTCTCTGGAATCCTTCACAAAACATGAATGTCATTGCTCTGCTATATGCCTCGTCTCCCAATCTCTCCTCTCCTCCATCAGTACACTTTTTCCAGCCTGTCCCTTCTGCAATTCTTGGCTCACCATCTGAGTATCTATGAGACTGCTTAAAGTCTCTCTGCTTGGAATTAAAACCTGCAAATGAAAGCCTTCCAAAAGGACGTCTTGCTCTGAATTGCCACCTTTGCCTCTGGCTCACTCTCCTCACCACACCTGTGCTCATGTTGTTCCCTCTGCCGGGAATGCATCAGCAGACAAGTACTAGGCACCCCTTATGTGCCAAGCGTGATGTCAGGAGCTGGGAATAAGGGTGAATCAGCTAAGCTCTGCTTCCTAGACAGACATGCTGTTAAAGGGGAAAGACACTTTTGTGATAACTACGCAACTCGAGTGTCACTACTGGAGGATATGGAGGTACATTTGTTAGTAAAGGCATGGCTGCCTATGCGTGGAAACAGCCAATATGCTGAGGTGACAGAAACAGAAAGCAGAGGTTGTGGGAGCCTGTGCATGGGTTAGTCACCTACAAAGGACACTGATGTGCTGAAGAGAAGGCCGCAGAGGCCTCATGTTCACGAGCTTGAGGCTGGTAAGCCAAGAAGGGAGCTGCAGACTGACGGGGTGGAGTGCAGCCTGAGACTCCTGTGCTCTCTGGTTTAGGGCCCTGCTTCTCATGCAGATAAAGAAATAATGAGAGAAGCCTCCCACACCAGGCAAGGCAGCTGCCTCTGCTTTCTCCTACTGGAGACATCTCCACCATGGGTAATACCCCAGGAATCCTCACCACCTAACCTGATCCACCTGGAGGAACCCTGGCTTGGGAGATGGCAGGGCAGATGCCCTTGGCAATACTCAGGCCTGGGCTTCTGTTACTCCCTGATGTGGCCATCTGCAGTGCCCCAGGGCTAGGAAGGAAAAATGGGCCTGAAAAAAGGGAAGTAAAAGAAGCAGAATGAGAGTCAGCACACTCAGGGGGCACAAGGCAGGAAAGCAGAGAGACCAGCTCAGAGAGTGAAGGGCGTCCCCTTGTTGAGTCTTGGAAGTAAAGAGGAAGAGATGCGAAGACGCACGGGGATAGCCCTGTGCTGAAGGACAAGGTGGAGACACAAGAGCGGGGGTCTATAAACATGTCCTGATCCCCACCAGCTGCCAGGATGAGGGACGGAAGCCAGCAAGTGGCAGAGTGAGGTCCTGAAGCCGAGTGCTGTAATGTCTGGGTAGACCTGTTGGAGAGCTGGCCACAGCCCCAGGATGGCGGTCTGGAGGACAGAAGGTACACAAGGGGCCCCTCTCCAACCACTCACCAGGGCCCACTGCTTCTGGGCTTCCTCGTGCCAGAGGCTCCAGATCTTCACTGCCATCTGGGCGGGAGGTCGGGTTGGGTCTTGGGGGGTCTGCAAGGAGAGAACAGCATTGTCATCCAGCAGGACATGAAGGGCCATCCACTCAGTGAGAACCTCCTGGCTCCCCTGACTTTTCTATGCTTTATGCTGCACACGGCTCCTGGGGGCCAGGTGCTGCACTGGGCGGCTCTGGGGATGCCTGTCCCGTAGCTTTCCCAGTCCAGTGATAGAGAGGGAGCCAGTCACAATCCAGGGTGACAGCTGGGACTGGGGACACAAAGGACTTGTGACAGCTCTTCAATGGGCAGAATCTGCCAGGTGGAGAGGTACGTACTTCCTTAGCCATTCATGATTCACTCACTCACCCATGGGCTACACATTGCCCAAGGCCTCCACTGGCCAGGGACAGAAGATGTCAGGGTCCCAGAGCCCAAGCGGTCCTGAGCCCTACCCTCCACAAGCTTCCCCATGGAAGGAGCCAGAATCATCATCCGGGGAATACAGGCTGCAGCAAAGAAAACGCCACTGCTAGCTTTGAAGTCAAAGTGAAAGGCCATGAGCCAAGCAATACAGACGACCTCCAGAAGCTGGCAACGGGCCAGGAAAGACTCTGTGCTGCAGCCTCCAGGAGGAACAGAGCCCAGCCAACACCTCGCCTCCAGCCCAGCCACATACATTTGGAACTCCTGACCTGCAGGACTATAACATAATAAAGGTGTGTTGGTGGAAGACACTAGGTTTGTGCTATGTGTCATAGCAGCAATAGGAAACAGATACACTACTCATACATACACGCAAATGTGTGAAAGGGCAGTTGAGGTAAACACATTTCTTATGGTGGGCTGCAGTTTAAAAATTCAAAAAGACACTGAGGTAGGACCTCCTTTAAGATGCTTCTTAGCACACACTGGCCAGTTTGGAGAAAGTCTGCCCCAGTGTGATGAGACTGTATCAAATGATAGTTTCCATAGTGTGTTACCTTTTACTTCTTCCATCTTTGGAGTCAATTATTTTTCGGGTTTTTCAAAAAGAACTGAGGCAACAGAGAGGGGAAGCGAGTTAATGAGGTCAGACTGCTGCGGAGCTGGGGTAAGGCGGCCTTGGAGCTGCACAGACCTGAGCCGGAGCCTGGGCCCTGCTGCTGTCTCACTGTGTGACACTGGTGTGCAGAAGAGGGTGACACGGCAGGCTGGCTGCTCTCCTGGGAAAGGCCTGCTGGCAAGGCTGGATTTCAAGAGGGTACCCCGCATCTCCAGAACTGAAGAGACACGGTCCCGGGACCTAAACTGTGCAAACACTGTAGCTTACACCTGTTTTCCTTCTGGGAGTCCGGAATTTTCGTATGTGCCAGGCAGAGGTGCCCACATGACCAGCCCCCAGTAAAAACCCTGGCACTGAGTCTGTGATGAGGTTCCCTGGTGGACAGCATTCTACAATATTGCTGGGGGAGTTAAGCATGTCCCATGTGACTTCCCTGAGAAAGAATTCTGGAAGCTTGTGCCTGCGTCCTTGGACTTTGCCCCACGTACCTTCTCCCCTTGCTGACTGTGCTCTGCATCGTTTCCCTGTAGTAAGTCATAGCTGTGAGTCTGACTACGGGATGAGTCGTGGGAGTCCTAGTGAATCACTGAATCTGCGGGTGGCCCTGGGGACACTGACTTAGCTGAGAAGGTGACTGCCTCTTTTAACCTCAGTTTCAGACCAATCGGCAAAAGGGACAACCCAGCTTCTTCATGGGGTGACTGGCGGAGTGAACCAGCAAGTCCCAAGAGCTGCTACTCAGTCATTCATTAATTTAGAGCTGTCAGCTGGGCCCTGGAGCAGGTACTGTTTGTTCCAAACGCTGGGGACATGCCCTGGCTTCACACAGCACCCTTTCTGGATGATAAAATGGTATTTGGAATGTGATGTAATGACGTACAAGATGAGTGGGAGAGGAGGTACGGAGTTCTAACAGGGTCCCAGTTTCGACTTGAAAAAGGTGAGGAGAGCCACTTAGGCAGAAGGGAGGGCAACTGGAAGACCCTGAGGTATCAGCTTGAAGAATGACTGACCAAAATGACAAGTAGGACAGTGGTGGAGATGAGGCTGGGAGGCAGACAGGGGCGAGAGCAGGGTTTCCCAGGCTTAGCACTACTGCCACTGGGGTGGGCCTGTCCTTGGTTATGGGGCTGTCCTGTGCATTGCAGGATGTGTGGCAGCATACCCGAGCTCCACTGGCTAGATGCTAGCCGCACACTGCCGGCCCAAGGAGTAACAATCAGAACTGTCTCCACACAGCGCCAAGGTCTTGGCCAGCTGAGAACTGCCGGGCTGGGTCATGCTGATTCTGAGGAGCCCAGGAGCCAGGATTTCACCCTGTGGGTGGTGGAGGGCACAGGTGATCGCCAAGCAGGGCAGTGAGTAGGCCCCTGGGGACAGGCGACACTCACTCAGCAGGAAGAGGTTCTGGTAGTTGTCCAATGCTGTGTCCCAGAACAGGTCCCCCTGGTCCAGCCCGAACTGCTCCCAGTCTTCCAAGGTGAAGTCCATGGCGACGTCTTTGAGGGTCACAAATTCCTGAAACACAACGCACTGTTGGTCACTCAGAGGCCGGGGTCAGGGAGGAGTCTAACACTTCACTCAGGGCACCCCAACCCTCAATCTGCCAGGCCTTTGGCAAAAACTATCCCATCCTCAGCCTCACGAGAATCTTGAGAAGGGATTGGAAACCCCTGCATTTTGTAGGCAAGGAAAAGGGAGTCTTGACCAGGGTACAGAATGTCAACCAGTTAACACAGGTAGGACTCAATCCAGGTCTGCCCGATCCTAAAAGTCTATTTCATGCTTTTGCTTTTTTTAGTGTTCATTCAAGATTTGATTTTGTAAATTTTCAAACATATATACAAGTAGGGAGATGTATATAATTAACACAAGTAGAGAGATGGGACCCATCACCCAGGGTCATCTGATTTCACCTGCGAATACCTCAGTATGAACAGTAACTCCTTAATCACTGAACACCCAGACCACACTCAAAATCTGTTTCCAGATTAGGCTGACGTCTCAGTGGCATGTCCTTCTAGCTAGCTTGTGTGAATCAGAATTCAAGGGGGCCCGTACCCTGCACTTAACGGATGTGGCTCTGAGGTTTTAAAATCTACAGCTGAACCCCTGTGCCCTCTTCATCCTCCATGCTCCTGCTTTGAGGTCCCACGTTCTGCCTCTGTGCAGTGTGACCTGGCTGCCCCCCTGGCCTGTGCATTTCCTGTGAGCTGGTCAGGAGAGCAGAGGCCTGACTGGAGTCAGTACAGCTTCTGGGGGAAAGACCCCCTCACAGACGTACCAGGTCCACTTTAGGCCCCATGACTACCAAAGGCTCCTATCTGGCTGTCCAACTTTTAGTGACAGCATCTTTCTCATTTTAAAACTTTCCTAGTTAACAAGTGTTTACTATTATTTAGTTACCTGTGTGTGTATATATGTCATATACATATAATATATAATACATACACATACAGAGAGAGAGAGAGAAAGTATCTCATTCTGTCTGTTGCTCAGGCTTGAGTGCAGTGTCACAATCACAGCCTCGACCTCCTGGGCTCAAGCAGTCTTGCCTCAGCCTCCAAGTAGCTAGGACTACAGGCGTATGCCACCAGACCCAGCTAATTTTTCTCTTTTTTGGTAGAGTAGGAGTCTTGCTATGTTGCCCAGGCTGGTCTTGAACTCTTGGCCTCAAATGATCCTCCTGCCCCTGCCTCCTGATGTGCTGGGATTACAGGCATGAGCCACTGTACATGGCCAATTAATGGGTGTTTAGGATAAAAATTCAAATGCTTGAGAAGTTCTGACAATAAAACATGAAAGCCTGCCCCCACATACCCCATCTCTAGGTGAATCCATGCCTGGTGTGTCTCTTCCAAATCTCCATCAATGTGGGTACAGGCACACACGCACGTGCACACACAGGCACACTTTAAGGAAGAATGAAAACCACCTTTCTGTAGTTTGGGTTTGAGGTATGGCCCTACTACCTTCACTTATGACTACTGGTAAATAAGCCGTATGTCTCTTGTGACCCCGATTCCCGCTCCACTAGTGAAACGGGACCAACGAGCCCCATCTCATCAGGGCTGCCACAAGAAGCAACTGAAATGCTGCTGGGAGGGGACTGCACAGTACTCAGCACACAGGAGGAGCTTGACAAAGGGGCAATTCCACTCTGGCTCACACTGCCCGTGCCAACGCTGTGTTGGCATAGGACTGCAAAAGCCCTTCTTTGGCCAAGAGGTTCCGGCATGCCGACAACAGACTCGACACTTCAGGTGCAGTGAGTCACTCCTCTTTGAGGCAGGAGTCACCTTCTCCAAGTCACACAGTATATTAGTCCATCTTCTGTTGCTATAACTGAATACTTGAGACTGGGTAATGTATAAAGAAAAGAAATTTATTTCCTATAGTTCTCGAGGCTGGGAAGTCCAAGGCCAATGGACTGCCTCTGGTGAGGGTCCTCTTGCTGGCAGAGACTCTCTAGAGAGCCCTAAGAGGGCGCAAGGCGTAACATGGTGAGGGAACTAAAGCAATGTCAAGCTGGCTTTTACAATAGACCTACTCTCATGATAACCCATTAGTCCATAAATAAATGAATTCATTCACACAGGCAGAACCTTGATGACAATCATCTCTTAAAGACCCCACCTCTTAATACAGTTACATGAGACATTACATTTCAAGGAGGTTTGATTGGCCGGGTACGGTGGCTCACGCCTGTAAATCCAGCACTATTGGGAGGCTGAGGCAGGCAGACTGCTTGAGCTCAGGAGTCTGCCCGCAATTCTCCTGCCTCAGCCTCCCGAGTAGCTGGGATTACAGGTGCGTGCTACCACACCTGGCTAATTTTTGAATTTTTAGTAGAGACGGGGTTTCACCATGTTGGCCAGGATGGTCTCGATCTCCTGACCTTGTGATGGCCTGCCTTGGCCTTCCGAAGCGCTGGGATTACAGGAGAATCACTCCACCCAGGAGGTGGAGGTTGCAGTGAGCTGAGATAGCAGCCACTGCATTCTAGCCTGGATGACAGAGCAAGACACTGTCAAAAAAAACAATCAGGTATTGGAGCTGTGAGACGGCTATGACAGAGCCCACGAGGGACTTCTGGGATGAGTGGCAAAAAAAATTCTCACTCTTGATCTAGGTGGTGTTCACCTTCATTAGTCATGCATTTGATGTGTGTGTGTTTCTGCATCTGTGATTTTGCAATAAAAATATTTTTAAAATTAAGCATATACTAAACAGCATTCTCCTCTTGCTGCTGTGTGGGAAAAGACAGAAGGTGGGAAGGGCAGAAGCAGGGAGTCAAGGAAAAAGGCCAGTTTGATAATACAGGTGAGAAATAGTGGCAGGAATGGAGGGAGGTCAGGGAAAGCTTCCCGGAGGGGAGGTCATTCAAGTTGGATTACTGAGGATGAACAGGTATTTACCAGATAGAGAGATGGTTTCATGCATCATTCATTCATTCAACTAACACCTCATGAGGCTTCCTACGTGCCCGGCCTGTGCTGGGCCCTGGGGACCCAGAGATGAATCCCCATCTGTTCCTGTCCCCAAGGAGCATCTGGACGAACTTGAAATTTGGGTGGGGCTGACAGAGATGGGCAGGAACATCCTTATCTAGGTGGATCTCTGCTACAGTGGAGGCAGCAGGGGGTGCTATGGAAGGCCAGAGCAGGAAAGTGCTGACTGCCTAGGGAATGATGGGGGAGCTGAGCAGGGTCTTAAAGGGGTGTGAGACATCACCGGATGGAAAAGGGCACGGGATTCCAGCAGAGGACACAACCTGAGCAAAGGCAAGGAAGCTGCTCGAAACTACAGAATAACGTTTTACTACCAGGCCAAAGGGAGGACTGGTTACCTAGAGGAATGGCAGAAGACGGTGCAAAGGGCGGTAGAACCCAGACCACACAGGAAGGCTGAAAAAACTGGAATTCATCCTGTAAGCAATAGGGATGCCCAGAAGAGTACAAGCAGAAAAGAACAGCATGCAAGCTTGCCTTTAAAAAGATCACCCGGAAACCACCATGGGACAGCATGCAAACTTGCCTTTAAAAAGATCACCCAGAAGCCACCATGGGACAGCATGCAAGCTTGCTTTTAAAAAAGATCACCCAGAAGCCACCATGCGACAGCATGCAAACTTGCCTTTAAAAATGATCACCCGGAAGCCACGATGGGACAGCATGCAAGCTTGCCTTTAAAAAGATCACCCGGAAGCCACCATGGGACAGCATGCAAGCTTGCCATTAAAAAGATCACCTGGTGTGGGTAACCCCCACATATAGGCACCGAGGAATGAGAGCTAAGCAGAACCCTGGCACAGTTAGGGCTTGAGGAATATCTCACTTTATAGTGATACTACTCAACTATTTCCTTTTATATAATTCTTTAAACAATCATATATTAGTAGAAATAGGGCTTGAAGAATCCCTTTATATAATTCTCTATATATAATCATATAATAGTTGATAGTATGAGTGCCTAAAGAATATTCCCTCCATATATACCTATAATTGTATCTTAGTTCATAATCGGAGGAATGCCTTGAGTGGGCACGGTACAGAGCATGATTTAAGGGAAAAACAGTTATACCAGGACAAGAATCCATGGCCCAGGCGGCAGCGTTCAGTATCGTAAAGATACCCGCTGTATGGCAGGCTTGGGGCGAGAGCCACTCCTCCTGATAAAGGAGTTGTAGGACCTTGCTCCAGTTCTTGTGGAAGGCTGCCCTCAGAACGGCAATCCACCTTGGTGACTGTGAACTTTATCAGCTCTTGCTACTGTGCTGCTTGAAAAGCATCTTCCCATAGAACCCATTGGAAGCTGCAAAAGGTGGTGGTAACCCTGACAGCTCTGTCACTGCTATGTGATTTAAAGCATCCACCTATAAATCTTCTTAGAAGTAGTTTGCTCATAGATAGAAGTATCGCACACTGCACCCTCTTCACTGCGCACGGCATACCTTCAAGCCTCGGTGACCTAATGGGGATGGATCCCTTACTGCACACGGCCCTTGCCTTCGTGGGAACGGGACACTTGCTGCACACTGTCCTCCTCCTGGCCTAGGTGACCTAACGGGGGTGGACCCCATGTTTTATTGCTCACGACCCTATCACTATCCTTAAAGATAATTTCACTCACTGCCCTGCCCCCTAACCTATACACAGTAAATACTCATGCTTCTGGACATTCAGGGCCTCGCTCGCCACCCTCGCCAGCCTCGCCTGACTCTGCTCATAGGTGGCGTGGCCCCTCGAGCCCAGCTGTGTTTTTCTTGTACTTCTGTGTCCTGTCTCTTTATTTCTTGGATCCTGCGCCTCAGCACAGCATAAGGCTCACCCCACGACCCTGTGGGGCCCTCAGCCCTACAACCCCGAAGCCACCATGGGACTCCATGCAAGCTTGCCTTTAAAAAGATCACCCGGAAGCCATCATGGGACTCCATGCAAGCTTGCCTTTAAAAAGATCACCCAGAAGCCACCATGGGACAGCATGCGAGCTTGCCTTTAAAAAGATCATCCAGAAGCCACCATGGGACAAGGAGGCCAGAACAAAGGAAGGCAATGGGGGTGACCAGTTAACACAGAGCCATCTTCAACTCACCTCAGCCACAAAGGCCAACAACTTTCCTGCCAGGGGGCATGACCAATTCACACAGAAGGGACTTCAACTCACCTCAGCCATAAAGGAAGGTCAGTTTTCCTGCCTGCGGAGGTGACCAGTGAAGACAGTGACCTTCAACTCACCTCAGCTACAAAGGAAGGCCAGCTTTCCTGCCTTTGGGGCCAATCAGTTAAGACAGAGTGGCCTTCAACTCACCTCAGCCATGGCCAACTGGGGTTCAGTAGCCTCTCTTAAGCTCCTCCTCCTTCCCCTCTGTGTTCCCGGCTGGCAAGGCTGTGGGAAGCACAAGGGAGCTGTGAGAAAGCCTCCCTTCCGCCCATGGCTGACTCGCTGTCCATGCTGACGAGCCCCCAAAATGTCCAGGAGGAGGACAAGTCCCAGTGTGAGTCTCCCTGCAGGAATCACAACGACAACTGTATTTACTGAAACCACCCCAGCCCCACATTTCCACTGTGCTTCAGGACCTACGGAGCAGCTTTGCCACCACTGTCAGCACTTAACGCACTCAGTAAATACACACTCAGGAGATTTGGTGATGAAAGTCTATGGCCACAGTGGGAGCTTCTGTCCTGCTCACTGCTGTGTCTTAGCACCAGCATGGTACAGTATGTGCTTTCACAGCAGGTGTAAACGCACCTAAAGCTGTTGACAGAACAAAGGTGTCTAACAGAACCAATAGAACAATGCTTCTGGGATTTCTGATTGTCATCTCTAGAATTTGAGTTCAGATCAATTGGCCTCCAAAACTGCTACTTTTTTTTTTTTTTTTTTTTTTTTTGAGACAAGGTCTTGCTCTGTTGCCAGGCTGGAGTAGAGTATGGCACAATCATGGCTCACTGCAGCCATAAGCTCCCAGGCTTAAGCAATCCTCCCACCTCGGCCTGTCAAGTAGCTGGGACTACAAGCATGTGCCACCACATCCAGCTAATCTTTTTTACTTTTTGTAGGGACAGGATCTCACTTGTTGCCCAAGCTGTTCTCAAACTCCTGATCTCAAGCAATCCACCCTCATCGGCCACCCAAAGTGTTGGGATTACAGGCGTGAGCCACCGCACCTAGCCACTATCTCTACAACAGAAATATCTAAACTTTTAACCATGACCCACAGTAACAACAACAATATATACTATAGGCCAGGCACAGTGGCTCACGCCTGTAATCCCAGCACTTTGGGAGGCCGGGGTGGGCGGATTACTTGAGTTCAGGAGTTCCAGACCAGGTTGGCCAACATGCTGAAACCCCGTCTGTACTAATAACATAAAAATTAGCCGGGCTTGGTGGCACCTGCCTGCAATCCCAGCTACTCGGGAGGCTGAGGCAGGAGAATCGCTTGAACCCAGGAGGCAGAGGTTGCAGTGAGCCGAGATCACTCCAGCCTGGGCGACAGAGCAAGACTACGTCTCAAAAAAAAAAAAAAAAAAAAAAAAAGGCAGCTGATGATGTTTTTACCACCTACTGAGTTGTTCCCCCCCCACCCCCGCCCCCTCACTTTCTTTCTTTCCAGAGGCAGTCTCACTCTGTTGCCCAGGATGGACTGCAGCGGCACGATCTCGGCTCACCGCAACCTCTGCCTCCCGGGTTCGAGCGATTCTCCTACCTGAGCCCCTCCAGCACCTGGGGTTACAATTTTTAGGAGTGACGGGGTTCGAGCCAGGATCGTCTTTTAACTCCTGATCTCAAGTGATCCGCCCGCCTCGGCCTCCCAAAGTGCTGGGATTACAAGGGTGAGCCACCGCGCCGGCGGCCCTTTAGCGGACTCTGAAAGGCGGTTCACGCCTCGAGCCAGACAACCGCCGCCGCCCCAGGAGACGCAACCATTGCCAAAGTCGCCCCCACTAGCATCCGTCACCTCTCAGAAAGGATCGAGCCTGCAAGGCCCTCGGCGACCCCAACCCCAGCGTCTCTGTACCTCGGGATTGTCGTCGGCCGCGTCAACAGACGCAACTTCAGCCTCGAGGGAGCGAACGACTCAACTCCCCTCACACGCGCCTCCTCGCATCGACTTCCGGTGCGCGTATAGTTTCTTTGAGAGGCTCCACCCAGGATCCTCCGCGCCACCGCCAGGACTCTATTTCCCACAGGGCTGCGCGGCCGACTTCGTTCGCCTTCCCATCTCCTCCCTTTTCTTCAGCCTACAGACCACGCTTAGCACTCTGGGAGTAGAGTACAAACAGAATCAGAACCAAGCCGCCTGGGTTTGTAGTCCAGTTTTTTTACCTTGTTAAAGAATCATTTAATTAGGCTCTTGCCTTTCCTAGAAGACTGGGAGTCTTCCCCTCTTCCGAAGAGCAAGCAGTGGGTTGCCATGGAAACGCGTTGAGACGGGATATCTGAGAAAACGCATGGAAGGGGCGGAGTTGAGAAGGGCTCACGGTGCATTCCGATTGGCTTCACATAGACACATGCGCAGTAGAACCAGAAACGTTCCAAAGCGGCCAGAACGGAGTGGGGTGGGGTGGGGTGGGGGGGGGGAATGAGCAATGAGGAAATAATTACCTCTCCGTGTGGAATCAGAGGGCGGGCCTGCCGCGAAGGCATCTGGGAAATGGAGTTCCTAGGTAGGTGAAGCCGGTCGCCGCCGGGAAGTCGGCGGCGCCTGCGCGGGCGCATCAGACTCAGGATGCGCGCGCAGCGCTTTCCGCCCAGCGGAAGTTTCCGCGGGCCAACAGAGAAGGTGAGTCCTGGTAACTGCGGGGGATCCGAGGGTCAGGCCGCGGAAGCCTAGAATCCCACTCCCGTCCCGAAGTACAGAGGTGAGGGGAGGCGAGGCCGAGCGGCGGGACGTCCCCCGACCTCCTAGCCGCAGCTCGGCCAGGGTGCCTATGACGTCAGCCTGAACCTTTGTGGGAGGCGGGGGCCCCCGCGGTCGCGGTCGCGGTCGCGGTCGCGGTCGCGGTCGCGGTCGCGGTCGCGGTCGCGGTCGCGGTCGCGGTCGCGGTCGCGGTCGCGGTCGCGGTCCGGGTTCGGGATGAGGGCGGTTCCGGGTCGGGGGGTTCACTGGCCTGCTCTTGAGCGGGCTTCGTGTTGGGCAAGGCTACGGCGGAGTTGGGTGGGGCTTTTGGGAAGTTTGACTGCTGCTCTGCCTGGGCAGCTCGTCGTCTCTTGGTTTCTATGGGAGGTGCGACCGAAGGGAGGCTCTGTCGCCTAGGCAACCGTTCCACTTGCACTGGGGTGGGGTCTGACCTTTAGCCTTTTTGCTGTGCTATCTCCCGAAGTGTAGGAGGAACACTATACTGTAGTTGACACACAGCAGCTGTTAAGTAAACATTTGTTGAATAAGTCAAATAAATGGATGAATAAAGACTGGTCTGAGGGTTGGAGCCTTGGGTTTCGAGTGATGAACTGGCCATTGCGTAGGTGACTTCAGCACTCTGAGACTCCTTTCTTTTTTGCATCTACTTTTATTGAGCATGTACTATACGGAAGGCTCCGTGCCACCGATATTGCTACGTTGGAATGCCTAGGCTAATAGGCACCGTTCAAGCCCATGTTATAGTAGTGTCTAAAACAAAAATCCTGCCCCAGCTAATTCACATTCTCATGGTGGCTGGGGATGCCAGACACTGAAAAAGAAGTGTTAAAAAATATTTGCAGGTCTACAATCCCTTATCTATAACTTTAAAATCCAAAACATTGTAAAAACTGAAAGGTCTTTTTCTCTGTTTGGCAACTTACTTGGTAGCCCAGCCTCACCTGGCTTTGAACTTGTTTGCTGGCAATACCCACTCCGAACTGATGTGTGACTATTTAGAATTTTTAAGATATTGTTGTGTAAATCACATACCTGCTTATGGAGAGTTGCCCTGGAACCCACCAATGTTGTAATATGTAATAGGTTCTAAAATCCAAGGAGTTTGGCTTGGTGCAGTAGCTCCCGCCTGTAATCCCCGCCCTTAAGGAGAGCGAGGCAGGAGGATCACCTGGGTTCAGGAGTTCGAGACCAGCCTGGCCAGCATAATGAAGCCCGACTTCTACAAAAAAATACAAAAATATTAGCTGGGCATGGGCGCACGCCTGTAACCCCAGCTACTCTGGAGGCTGAGGCATGAGAATCGCTTGAACCCAGGAGGCAGAGGTTGCAGTGAGCTGAGATCACACCACTGTGCTCCAGCCTGGGTGACAGAGCGGGACTCCATCTCAAACTAAGTAAATAAAATAAAAATGTTACAAAACCTTCAAAATTCTGAACTTTGAAACACAGCTGGCACCAGGTGATTGGAAAAAGGAATTGTCAATATATGTTAGATGCATTAAGTGCTAAGGAGAAAAATTAAGGAGGAAAGGGGAAGGGAGAGAGAAAAGTGGCTAGGGAATGCAGTTTATATAAGGTGGTCAGGGAAGAACTCTTAGGCTGAGACCTGAATGAAAGAATAAGCCACAGGGGAAAGTGGTGGGAAGCACGTTCCTGGCCAAGGGAACTACTGCATGTGTGAAAGTTCTGGGGGAGGAATTCACTGGCTAGAAATTGATGGAACCGAATCATTTGTGGAGCTAATGTTAATCAGATGTACAATATGTGTCAGGTACCTTAAACTTCAAAATTCAAGAGGTAACTGCTGCTGTTCTCAGTTTGCAAGTGGAGGAACAGGCAAAGAGGTGTTTTTCAAAAATTGGAAATAAATTAGCTGGGCAAGGTGGTCTGCGACTGTGATCCCAGCTACTTGGGAGGCTGAGGTGGGAGGATTGCTTGAGCCCAGAAGGTGGAGATTACAGTGAGCTAAGACAGAGTCACTTCACTCCATCCTGGGCAACAGCAAGACCCTGTCTCTTAGAAAAAATTGGCCAGGCACGGTGGCTCATGCTTGTAATCCTTCCTTTGGGAGGCCAAGATGAGTGGGTCACAAGGTCAGGAGCCAACATGGTGAAACCAGATCTCTACTAAAAATACAAAAATTGGCCAGGCATGGTGGCATGCGCCTGTAATCCCAGCTATTGGGAAGTTGAGGCAGGAGAGTTGCTTGAACCCAGGAAGGTTGCAGGTAAGCTGAGATTGTGCCACTGCTCTCCAGCCTGGGTGACACAGCGAGACTCTGTCCCAAAAGAGAAAAAAATTTTTATTGCCCACCATCACACAAGATGTGGCAGAAGCAAGATCCAAACAGGCAGATTATGTCCCAAATTTATCCTCTTAACCCCTATACTTATCTGCTTCTAAGTGGCAGGTCTATTTAAGGACCATCCAGCTAGATAATTCTGGCCCTGAGCTTGAAGTCTCCTGCTCAGTGTCTAACTTCCCCTGAAGGATGGATGTATGCTGACACAGCTGGGGGCCCCTCTGCCTTCTTGGCAGGTTTTCTTCTGCAAAGAAGACAATGATTTATTCACTCAGTAAACGTAGACCCAGCATTTGCTCTGTGCCAGGCCTGTTTGAGGCTGTAGGCACACTGTGGCAAACAAGGCAGACAAAAGTCCCCACCATTGTGAAGCTTACGTTCTAGTAAGTCAGAGTAAGTCAGGCAGTGACAAGTACTGTGAGGAAAAATAAAGCAAGGTGAGGAGGATAAAACATGCTATTAGTAGAATGCTGTCATTTTACTAATAGGCCAGGCGCAGCGGCACGCACCTGTAATCCCAGTGCTTTGGGAGGCTGAGGAGGGCGGATCACCTGAGGTCGGGAGTTCAAGACCATCCCAGCCAACATGGTAAAACCCCATCTCTACTAAAAATACAAAATTAGCCAGGTGTGGTGGCGGGCACCTGTAATCCCAGCTACATGGGAGGCTGAGGCAGGAGAATCGCTTGAACCTGGGAAGCACAGGTTGCAGTGAGCCAAGATTGTGCTACTGCACTCCAGCCTGGGCAAAAAAGAGGGAAACTTCGTCTAAAAAAAAAAAAAAACCAGTAAAATGATGTCCAAGAAGGTCTCTGAGAAGGTGACATTTGACAGAGAGCTGAAGACGGTGATGAGGGAGTCACCTGTGTGCACTCTGGGGGGGACAGCATTCCAGGCAGTTGGAATAGCAAGCGTAAAGGTCTTGGGGAAGAAATGTTCGTGTCACAACTGGGGAAAAGCATGGAAGCCAGCGTGGCTGGCTCAGAGTGAACAAGGGGAGATGGTGGGAGAGGCCAGCGAGGGGACAGGGAAATGGCAACTCATGTAGAGACTCCTGGGCCATGGAAGGAATTTTGGCTTTGATTCTGTCTAAAATGAAATCCACCATACGGTTTTGAGTAAAGGAGGGACAGGGTCTGACTTAGATTTTATTTATTTATTTATTTTTGAGATGGAGTCTCGGTCTGTCACCCAGGCTGGAGTGCAGTGGTGCGATCTCAGCTCATGGCAGCCTCCGTCTCCCGGGTTCAAGTGAATCTCGTGCCAAAGCCTCCTGAGTAGCTGGGATTACAGGTGCCCGCCACCATGTAATTTCTTTTGCTGATTTTCTTTTGTGTTTCTTTTTTTAATTGAGATGGGTTTTCACCATGTTGGCCAGGCTGGCCTGGAACTCCTGACCTCAAGTGATCCACTTGCCTTGGCCTCCCAAAGTGCTGGGATTACAGGCATGAGCCACTGTGCCCAGCCCTCCATATGGTTTTGAGTAGAGGAAGGACAGGGCCAGGGTCTGATTTAGATTTTAAATGGATCCCTCTAGCTACTAGATTGAAAATAGATTGTAGGGGCAAGCGTAGAAGCCAGAAGTCTAGTTAGGAAGCTGCTACAGTAGCACAGGGAGGGATGGTGGCCTAGACCAGGCTAGGAGCAGGATGTCAGAACCAGGATTGGCACATGGTTAAAAACCCTCTTGGCCTGATTCCACACCCAGCATCAGCTTCCAGATTCAAATCTGCAAGAATATTCTGACCTGCTGCCCCAGGAACACAGTCCAGGTGTGCATTTTCATTGTATAAATTGGCACCAGCTTAAGAACATGGGTGTGGCCGAGCGCAGTAACTCACACCTGTAATCCCAGCACTTTGGGAGGCCAAGGCAAGCAGATCACAAGGTTAGGAGTTGGAGACCAGCCTAGCCAATATGGTGAAACCCCATCTTTACTAAAAAAAAAAAATACAAAAATTAGCTGGGCATGGTGGTGTGCGCCTGTAATCCCAGCTACTCGGGAAGCAGAGGCAGAATTGCTTGAAACTGGGAGGCGGGAGTTACA